TTTCACTACAAACCTGGAGGAAAATGTATTTGTCTCTTCCAAACCACCCCTTCACGAAAATGTTTGAACCCAACGCTGTAGTGCTGGCTCTTTGGAACAATACGCGCTACGCGCAACGCTGAACGCGCACACCAGCATGCATTTGCACACAAATACTGCGTCAAGATCCTAACTGTTGAATAGTATTTGTGAATGGGAGCAATAACGAATGTCATGTGATGTGAGTTCCACCAATCAAATGACTAGGATATTTATGTCAGTTATATAATAATACATTTTGAGTCCCGGCGTGAATGACAGTAATAACGAATGACACGTGATGTCAGTTCCACAAATCAAATGACAAGGAACTGTATGTCAGTCATAATGTCAGTTCGTGGTGCCGATGAGGTTCGTCTAAAAAGTTACGACGAGAGTGCACGTTAAAGGCTTTGGCCCACGGCCTCATGCGTTATAGCAGCACAAAACTTGCCTTTGAAGTAATAATAATAATAATAATATCGGAGTCTTATATAGCGCACGTATCTACAAACTCTTAGGTACTCAAGGCGCTGGAGATATGTCTATTATTAAAGAAAGGTAAATAAAGTTTATGAGAAATATGAGACCCATTATGTAGCACCTTATAAGGGTTTACAAGGTGCTGCGGCGCATATTGCAGCCACTGCCAGAAACACCGGGGCAAACCCCTTTTCTTAGCGATAAGTGTTACTGGGTTCTTTAACGTGCATTACACAACACACGGGAACTACAGCTTTACGTCCCATCCGAAGGACGAAGCAATAATGGTAAAGTGCCTTGCTCAAGATGCAGTTGCCTTGATGATTTTATTTTGCGTTGTTTTAAGAACCTACAACGTTAATTTTCATTATTGTCAATGATTTGACTATTAAACCTTTGTTATAGCCTTGAACAAGCTGGAACAAAGTAGTCGATATAATAAAATTAAGTAAGTTTTGTTTGTTCTTAAAGGGACACTAGGTCCTGAAACAGCCCAATTGGGCTACAAAACGCGCTTTGAACGAGATTATGTTAACCGGAAAGAACATTTAAAACTAGGTTAGAAACATCCACACAACTATCCTCCTTTAAAAAACTGGGCGTTTTGTGTTATTCCTGTATTATATGTGCGAGAACGAATTTCGGGGTCCACTTTTGCGACCCCATATTGGAGCCGTTTGAATGCTAGTTGTGATTTCATTCGTACGCGTAAAGTGTTCGCCTTTTGCGGACGTTGAAGAAACCACTTTTTTTGCATATGTGATTGATCACCGCTGTTCCCGAGACACTATTATATCGTACACTGTATGAGAACGACTATAAGACACGAAAAACGTATTCGTACTCCGTCGTGTCCGATGTAAACAACCGGTTTTTTTTGTCTTTTCTCGGGAACGGTAAGACATTAGGTAATTGGTTTCCTTTCAACCACATGTTTGAAATAGGATTAGTAAACAATGCAAAACATGAAATTTTCGGGGATTTCAGGACCTAGTGCCCCTTTAATTTCAAATTGTATGAAGTTCTACAACAGCAGTGCGGGTCTCTCAATCAAAATTGACCTTTCACGGTAGAATCGCGTTAGAATCGCGTCAACGCAGCTTGTGAAATATTGTCCAATTACATAACATGAAAATGGACGCGGAACGCGCAACATCGGAGACAAAGTTAACAAAACTTTAATAGCGTACACAAATTCCATAGGGTTGTCTAAGGGGCGTGGCTTACTCGCCCCTATTTAGAAATAGCGATAAAACATGTTCAGTTCTTGTCGTATACAAACCAAAATAGATTGATATCAGCAGAACTTGTTATTCCTCGTGCATTCTTGCCAAATCTTCAGAGATGGTCTGCTTATCCTGTTAATCAGGAAATATATTTATTTCTATTTCCTTCCTCAAACAGTCATGAAAAAACATTACAATGCCAGCTGGACCAACATGTCTAGACATATCAGACGTTATACAGGAGGCTTGCTCCGTGGATAACGGGTGATACTCAGACTAGTAAAGTGCTGCACTGTGGAGGATGTCAGTTAGTTAGTCTGGTTCCCAGACAAAAAGATTCGGACTGTTCCTGATGAATCTTAGGTCAGGCCAACCTCGTCCCCAGGGTGTCGAGCAGTACGCGCCCACTCACTACCTGCTCTCTCACCCTGGTATTGGATCATTTGCATGTGCAAGATTTTTTTACACGTATGCAAATGAGGACTAGTATGGTGCCTGCCTGTGCGTTATATTTTCGTTTGTTTTTGTATGCACTGTCTGGGGTAAAAACAGAATCAATTCGTCGCAGCGCGACCATGGCGTGAGTTACAAAAACACGATTTTCTAAATGTAAGCAATGAATATTAATTATCAACTCATTAAAAAAAAATAATAAGCAATTAGCGGTTAATTAAACCTTTATTATACTCGGAAATACTCGGGCACTATCCGATTGTCGACGAAAGGAATTCAGCAAACTTCGGAAATTTTCGGAAAAAGGAGGAATTCCTCCCGTTTTAGTCACGTGACGTAAATTGTAATACAATGTATTACCGGAGGCTACCGGACCTAAGATTCATCAGGAATAGTCAGAATCAGTTAGTGAAACCAAAATATCCCGGTTCTGTAAATACGCGCGCGTGCAGCGCACTCACGCGCAACATACAGAGTGTCAGTTCGTGGTGCCGATGCCGATGAGGTTCGTCTAAAAAGTTAAGACGAGAGTGTACGTTGCAGGCTTTGGCCCACGGCCTCATGCGTTATAGCAGCACAAAACTTGCCTTTGAAGTTGATGCAGTTGCCTTGATGGGTTTTTTGGCGTTGTTTTAAGAACTTACAATGTTGATTTTCATTATTGTCAATGATTTGACTTTTAAACCTTTGTTACTCTTGAACAAGCTAAAACAAAGTAGTGGATATGATACAATTTTGTGAGTTTTGTTTGTTCTTAAAGTTTTATCCTCCAATCGAATGACAAAGATCTACTTGTATGTTATATATGTTTTGCATTCGTACAATGGTGAGAATATTTTCACTCCTTGAAAGATGGAAAAATCCACATTCAATCTTTCAACTCATGAAAATATTCTCACCATGCATTGCACTCATAAACATTCATTATTTGTATACTAATATCCATTATGCTTCTGTGATCATATTTCTCAATCCACCAAGTTTTAGTTTCGGTCGTTTTGTTCCATGTTTAAAAGGGTGGAATTCAACAATTTGCAAATACATCTAAATGCACGAAATCATACCTTCAAAAGACTCTTAATGTAGAAACAAATTCAGAGTGTTGCTGGGGCATCATTATTCTTGTAAACTCTTTTTGAAACAAAATATACTCCAGCCTTCTCTTCAGCCTTCTCTCCCCCCTCCCCCCCCCCCAACCAAAATTTGATTATGCATCCGCCTTTGCATTGTGCGTACATTGATTAGACTTTCGGTTTGACGGATGCGTTGCCGATTATTACAAATGTGCAATCCAATTCGCAGAAAATCGATTTGTTATTGTGACACGGGCTGAATTGTACATTCTTTTTCATTTGTCATAATTTATATCGCAAAGTCTGCATTCATTATAAATAAAGTATACAGCCCATACAAATCATGATACAGCTTTGACTGATTCATTGATTAATCACTGTATTGTAGGCCCAATTGATCATTAATGCGTTTGTTCTTATGTACACAAAGGCCTATTTGAAATAGGCAAATGAAATGTTGAAAAGATATAAATCTTACCAAAATAAAATCAGTCAAAATAATCTTGAAGGTATATAATATTGGGACGGTAAAGGGTAACATCACGTGTCATGTTACATGGGATACAGGGACTTTTTTGTTGTTTCTTTGTCTAAATTGCATTTTAATGTCTTTCTGTATTTGTTAAAGTTCTGTCTCATTTTATTAGTTCGATTGCTTGGTTATATGATGCGATTGTGGCAATTGCTGAGCACAAAAAAAGAACGATTGTCTTCATCTTAGGTTTTATTTAGGATTTATTACAATAGTTGGTATGTTTTGAAAGACTACACCACTTGGTTTAGCTCAATCATCATGAATATTCAAAATTCAATCATTCAATCAAACATTCCTCATATGTTCTTGACTCGGCATACGTTTAATGCAGGAAATCGGCTGCACATTTAGCGAAATAGTTTGATGATAAATTAAAAGGAATACAGGATTGCGGATGTGCCTTCGATTTCGCGCTAAAATGAAATGTCAATGTACCAAATTCAGTGCACATTCGGGAAATCGTACGCTGATTTTTTACGACTGAATGCACCTTCATGGAAATAGAATTATCATTTGTTAAATACAAACAGCGATTTGGAACGTTCATTCTATTTCGCACGAAAACGAATGATTCTTTTACAGACTCTTGTACACATTTTCCGAAATTGTTCGGGAAACCTATATTATACCCCCATGTATAAGCCTATGTAATAAAAGATCAATTTGAATGCAGTCTTTTAAAGCTTTCCGGGATCGATCTGAAGCGCCAGCGTTCTGTCCTGTGATTTTATTTCACTACAAATAATGACCAAAAACTGGCACTTTTGGGTCCAGCTCGGCTATAGGCCTATCATGGATTTTATTTGTCAATTTATTTTTGAATTTAAAATGTTTTAATTTTTTTTGTTTAATATTGTTCGTTCACATTTACATGTTGATATACCGGTAGCTATTTTAAGCTTTTATTATTATTTTTTATCTGGGAAGTGGTTCAAGATGGACTGTACAGTCTTTTCCACAACCCCTGACATCTCGAAGGTGTTGGATGATGCAAGAGCTAGGGGTTGAGGGAAAGACGCACACTCATTTTAAGCCGGGCGTATAGGTAGTCAACTTTCTCAACGGCCATGCAAAATTGGCCGGGAATAATGATTATTGACTATGGTTATACTGTCTTATCTAACAAAATTAATTTGTCAAGTTTGATTTCTGGATCCGGCCCTGACGTTTATGACAGGGATAGGTGTTCGTTTGGTAGGCGGTTCAGACTCCATGGAAGGTCGAGTGGAGGTGTTCTGGAACGGTGCTTGGGGGACGGTCTGTCATAGAGGCTGGGACTTACGAGACGCAACCGTTATCTGCCGGGAACTGGGTTTTGGAGAAGCTTATGCGGCTCCCCGTCGAGCTGTATTTGGTGAGGGAACCGGAGCCATAGTGTTGAATGGTGTTCGTTGCACGGGTAACGAGGAGACGGTGTTTGATTGCCCGGCTAGAAGGGGATCGGGACACAACTGCTGGCATGACGATGATGCCGGGGTTCGATGTAGTAAGTTGTTGACAGCAGACTGAGTTATGCACGATATTATAACTTAAATTCGGGTTTTGTAATAACACACACTGACTGAATTTGGTGAGGGAACCGTGGACATATTGTTGGATGATGTTGGTTGCACGTGTAACGAGGAGACGGTGAAAAAAAAGACCAGGATACCACGACTGCATTCATTACGAGGATGCAGGGGTTCGATGTAGTTAGTTGCAATGCTGACATCAAAATCCAGACTGGTTTTTATAAGATTGTAAACAAAAATATAGTCATAGAAAAGAAGATTATGTACACTATCTCAAAGTAATAACACACAATCACTGCCTTTTGCGCTTTCAGTATGCATGGTCTACCCCCACAATTCCATAAAGGCATAGGCTTATTGCAGTGCCAGAATTTCTCCCGGTATATGACAAGTGACATATTTTTGGTATTTTGATTATGCTTAGCTGGAGATCGACCCGTCAAAATAATCTGCCCATCTAATCAGACGATCGATTCAGATTCAAACCAGAACTTTGCTACGGTCAACCTACCTGGTCCTGCCGCTTCGTACCACAGCAGCATTGGACGGCTCGAAATCACTATTGACGTGGATGGTTCTACGCATCGTGTTAATGACGAAGTCAGATTGAGTATTGCAAACTCTCCACACGTATTGCAATTCAATGCAAGTGATGCAAACAACACTGCGACGTGCAGCATGCAAATCTCCGTTCTTGGTAGGCAATTATTATTATACCCCAATGTATATGTAATATGAGATCAAATTGAATGCAGTCTTTTAAAGTTTTGCTGGATCGATCCGAAGTGCCAGCGTTCTGTCCTGTGTTTTTAATTCACTGACTCATCGAGTACAGGCCTACAAAAAATGCCCTAAACTGGCACTTTTGGGTCCAGCTCTGCTAAAGGCCTATTTTTTATTTTATTTTGTACGGTTTATTTTTGAATTTAAAATGTTCAAAAAAATGTTTAAATTGTTCGTTCTTATTTACAGTTTGATATAGCTCTTTTAAGCTTTTATTGTTATTATTTTATCTGGAAAGCGGTTCAAGATGCACTTTACAGTCTTTTCCACAACCCCTGACATCTCGAAGGTGTTGGATGATGCAAGAACTAGGGGTTGAGGGGCAGACGCACATTCATTTAAGCCGGGCGTATATACGTAGTCAACATTCTCAATGGCCATGCAAAATAATTGACCTGGAATAATGATAATTGACAATTGTTACTATCTCATCTTACTAAATTAATGTCAAGTCTGATTTCTGGATCCGGCCCTGACAGGGATAGGTGTTCGTTTTGGTAGGCGGTTCAGACTCCATGGAAGGTCGAGTGGAGGTGTTCTGGAACGGTGCTTGGGGGACGGTCTGTGGTGACGACTGGGACCTACTAGACGCAACAGTTATCTGCCGGGAACTGGGTATTGGAGAAGCTTATGCGGCTCCCATTGGAGCTGCATTTGGTGGGGGGACCGGAGACATACTGTTGGAATATGTTCGTTGCACGGGTAACGAGCAGACGGTGTTTGATTGCCCGGCAACAAGGGGATCGGGACACGACTGCGGGCACTACGAGGATGCCGGGGTTCGATGTAGTAAGTTGTTGACAACAGACTGAGTATTTTTTTACGAGATCGAAAATACATTGTACATGAACGCTATTATAACTCAAATTCGGGTTTTGTAATGACACACAACTGTCTAAATTTAGTGAGGGAACCGTGGACATGGTGTTGGATGATGTTGGTTGCACGGGTAACGAGGAGACGGTGTTTGATTGCACGGCAAGAAGACCGGGAGAACACGACTGCATTCTTTACAAGAATGCCGGGGTTCAATGTAGTTAGTTGCAATGCTAACATACAAATCTAGACTGATTTTTTTTATAAGATAGTAAAAAAAAAAACGATTATGTATACTATCTCCAAGGAATAACACACAATCACTGCCTTTTGCGCTTTCAGTATGCATGGTCTACTCCCGCATTTCCCTAAAGGCATATTGCAGTGCCGGAATTTCTCCAGGTATATGGCAAGTGACAAATTTTTGGTATTTTGATTATGCTTGTAGCTGGAGATCGACCCGTCAAAATAATTTGCCCATCTAATCAGACGATCGATTCAGATTCAAACCAGAACTTCGCGACGGTCAACCTACCTGGTCCTGCCGCTTCGTACCACAGCAGCCTTGGATGGTTCGAAATCACTATTGACGTGGATGGTTCTACGCGTCGTGTTAATGACGAAGTCAGATTGAGTATTGCAGACTCTCCACACGTCTTGCAATTCAATGCAAGTGATGCAAACAACACTGCGACGTGCAGCACGCAAATCTCCGTTGTTGGTAGGCAATTATTATTATACCCCAATGTATACGTAATATGAGATCAATTTGAATGCAGTCTTTTAAAGTTTTGCTTGATCGATCCGAAGTGCCAGCGTTCTGTCCTGTGACTTTAATTCACTGACTAATTGAGTATGGGCAAACAAATAATGCCCGAAACTGGCACTTTTGGGTCCAGCTCGGATATAGGCCTATCATGTTTGTTTTTCATCAGTTTATTTTTGAATTTTTGAATTTTTAATATTACGGGCGGGAACCAACATGTTTCTTCGGTCAAACCGAAAGAAAAGACCCGTAAAACTAAGACCGTTTCTCGACAAGAATTTGTCGACGTAACGGAAAAGCTAGCCGTAATGGCAGAAGCTATTGAAAATATTCAAACGGCCATCCTCAGTCCACCTGCCGCAAAGCGGCCGCGCCTAGCGTCGGAGTCTGACTCTGATAATACAAGTGCCTCAAAGGCCATAGATGAACTGCTCAAAGAATCAGTTCTCGATTCAGAAAATACAGGCCAGGACGACCAGCTGTTAAACAATTTCGAACAGCTATACACAGAGGATGCCCCGACTGCTGCTGCAGTCAATGAAAAATTGGCTAAGGTCATTGATAAAATGGTGCGTAACAAGCTACCAGAAGATAAGGCTGCTGAAAAGCTTAAGGCCCTCCAACGACCAACCAATGTAAAAAATCTGGAATGTACACGAGTCAATCCAGAGGTCTGGAGCTCTTTGAAGCCGAAAACTCGGTCACAAGACATAAAGCTGCAAAAAGTGCAGCAAGCACTCATGAAAGGAGTGGTGCCTATCGTGGGCGTAATAAATTCGCTCATGACGCGGCTAAATGGGTCAGCTGCAGGTACTGATAATCTAGATGTTAAGGGTGAAATCACCAAACTGCTTGACGCGATAGCAGTGATCGGGCATGCCAACCACGAGCTCAATATGAGAAGACGTGAGTTAATTAAGCCTGACTTAAACAAACAGTTTTCTGGCCTGTGTTCATCACATGTTCCAGTAACTGGGCTCCTGTTTGGGGACAATTTACCGCAACAATGTAAAGACATCCAACAAACGAACAAAATTGGACAGAAAGTTGGATTCTCTACTGGATCGCGGGGGACCGACAACAAGGGTTCCCTACACAGAGGGAACTTGGCTAGTGCCGGCAGAAGACGCGGTAGCTATTTAAACTATCAGCGTTACAGCAAGCACCAGGGATCTCGGTGGAATCACAAACCGCAGCCATCAGCAGGAGCCAAAAAGTAGATTTGCCAAGCAAAAAACTGGTGAGTCATTGCATTGAAAATACATGTACCAAAATTGCAGGTAGATTAGCCTACTATGTAGCCAAATGGCGAACTGTAACCTCGGACAAATGGGTCTTAGAGGCAGTACAGCATTACTTTATAGAATTTGCCAAACAACCTGTCCAGTTGTATCAGCCGAAACAAATGGCGTTTTCTCAAAATGAGACTGACATTATTTCGGCAGAAATAATTAAGCTTCTTCAAAAAGGAGCAATTAGGCAAGTTACCCACATGGCTGGGGAGTTTATTTCTACAATTTTTGTTCGTCCAAAGAAGGACGGATCCTTTCGGCCGATTATCAATCTTCGAGAATTGAACAAATCAGTGGCCTATTACCATTTCAAAATGGAGACCATTCAGTTTGCACTGCAACTTATACGGCCTCAGTGCTTTATGGCATCAATCGACCTGAAAGATGCATATTTTGCCGTGCCCATTGCAAAAGAACATCGCAAGTATTTGCGATTTCAATGGCAGAACAAATTGTTCGAATTCACCTGTTTGCCATTTGGCTTAGCATGTGCCCCTAGAGTTTTCACAAAGATCATGAAACCTCTGATTGCCTCCTTAAGACAGAGAGGCCATGAGTCATGTGATTACATTGACGATTCATTGTTGCTAGGTTCAACCATTCACGAGTGTAGAACTAATGTTAAAGCTCGTCTGACCCTTACTAAAGAGCTAGGGTTTATTATCAATGCTCAGAAATCGATTCTAGAACCCACACAGACCATTCAGTTTCTTGGGTTTATTCTGAATTCTGTCAACATGACCATTGCGATTCCTGTCCTTAAAGTACGGAAAATCGTTACAGCCATTGATAATTTGATCACGATGCCACGCCCAAAAATACGGGACGTTGCACATGTGATAGGGCTTTTGGTGTCTTGCGAGATAGCCGTGCCATACGGTGCTTTATTCAGAAGATCCATTGAAGTGGATAAGAATGAGGCTTTATCTCTTAATGCCAACAATTTTGATGCAAGAATGTCTTTATCTGACAGAGCCAAGACAGATTTAAGTTGGTGGCATGCTAATTTACAGTATGCAAATGCCCCCATTCACAGAAATAACCCAAATTTCTTTGTTGAATGTGATGCATCCAAAAGTGGTTGGGGTGCTCAATGCAATGGTCAGGTATTAGGCGGACAATGGTCTGCCACAGAGATTGATTTCCATATCAATTATCTTGAGCTCAAGGCATGCTTTTTTGCTTTGCAGTCCCTTTTCAATAAACACAGGGACATCCATGTTCACCTAAAAACGGACAACACAACAGTTGTTTCGTATATTCAGTATTTTGGTGGCACACATTCCCCTCAGTTAAATGAACTTGCGAGGGAAATTTGGTTATGGTGCATGGCCAGAAAGATATGGCTATCTGTATCGTATTTGCCTGGGGTTGATAATGTGATGGCAGACTTTGCCTCACGCAATTTCCACGAAGATATAGAATGGAAATTACACCCAGACGTTTTCCGCAAAATTATTGCGAAATTCATGGTGCCTGACATTGACATGTTCGCGTCAAGATTGAATTATCAAATTCAGCCATATGTATCATGGCAACCTGATCCGGGTGCATTCAGTTATGATGCATTTACACTGGACTGGTCTGACTACAAAGTGTATGCATTTCCCCCATTCTGTCTAATTGGGAAAGTCTTGGCGAAAATTGAATTCGATGAATCAATCGCCATACTCATTGCCCCACGATGGCAAACACAAGTGTGGTTTCCAAAAATGTTGAAACTACTCACAAACAAGCCAGTTATTTTGCCTAAAAGGGCTGATATACTTTCGCTTCCTTCCTCAGGCAGACTCCATCCGTGGCAAGAGCGGCTACAACTGATGGCATGCCATTTGTCCGGGAAAACCTGCAACGTCAGGGAATTTCACAAGACGCTGCCGACATTATCATCGCCTCTTGGCGACCTGCAACCAAGAAATCTTACAGATCAGCGATCCAAAAGTGGATTTTATTCTGTGCTCGGGGACAAATTAATCCCGTTCGAGCACCTGTAACAGTTGTTCTTGATTGCCTAACTGAAGAATTTCATAAGGGTAACAGTTATAGCTCAGTGAATACCCTACGTAGTGCCATATCGGCAATCGTAGCTCCGATAGATGTGAGTCCTATTGGGTCACATCCATTGGTTAAAAGATTCATGACAGGTGTGTTTAATTTGAGACCTGCTATGCCAAGATATAATTTTACTTGGGACGTAAATATTGTTTTCAAGTACCTAAAAGAATTAGGTCCTGGAGAAAAGTTGCCTTTAAAAGGGCTTACAATGAAACTTGTTATGTTGATTGCATTGATTTCAGGACAAAGGTGTCAAACATTATCTTTGCTTGATTTAGATCAGGTCAATGTCACTCGAAGCAATGTGACTTTTGTTGTTACTAAGTTAACAAAGACCAGTAGAGTTGGCAGTAAGCCAATAAGTGTGGTGCTGTCAGAGTACCCGCACGATGAACACCTATGTGTTATGAAAACACTTAGAGAGTATCTGATTAAAACTAGAACTTTCCGAGGACGCGAAAGGAGTTTGTTTTTGAGTTATACTTCCCCTCACAAGCGTGTAGGGTCCGAGACAATTTCTCGTTGGATCAAGATGACACTGCAAGATGCAGGTATTGACATAGGTAGATTCAAGGCTCATAGTACTAGATCGGCTGCATGTAGTGCAGCTTTGCAAAGGGGAGTTCCCCTGGATGTCATAATGACTACTGCCCAATGGGCAAGGAGTAGTACTTTTGCTAAGTTTTATAATAAAACTATTGTACCAGCAAGTCAGAAGTTTGCTGACGCTGTTTTGAGTTGTGAAGCAAAATAGGCTTCGAATGTTTGTTTTCTGAATAAATATACAGAAACATCAGAAATGAATTGTTTATTGTACGACTCTTTTTTTGTCGTTTGTTTGCCCGTTGCATGCATGGGCTCTAAATTTCTCATGTAAGTCCGAAGTGGAGGTGATTATGAGGTAGAATTTAAAAATTAAACGAATGAAATGAAGTTTAATTAGAATTCTACCGATTAAATCACCGACACTGAAGGACTTACACCCTCCACAATTGGTATATGTACTGCTATCATGCATTCCCCACCCCTTTTATATGCACCGGGCATTTTCATAAAAATGTATTGAGGCGTGCAGGGCGTGGTGGCCCTTTATAGGGAAGAGAGTCTATTCAAAATCTCTCAACCGTGACTAATCCTCCGGTGGAAAGTGTAATCTCATGTAAGTCCTTCAGTGTCGGTGATTTAATCGGTAGAATTCTAATTAAACTTCATTTCATTCGTTTAATTTTTAAATTATACCCCAATGTATACGTAATATGAGAACAATTTGAATGCAGTCTTTTAAAGTTTTGCTGGATCGATCCGAAGTGCCAGCGTTCTGTCCTGTGACTATAATTCACTGACTCATCGAGTACAGGCCTACAACAAATTCCCTAAACTGGCACTTTTGGGTCCAGCTCTGCTAAAGGCCTATTTTTTAATTTTATTTTTGACAGTTTATTTTTGAATTTAAAATGTTAAAAATTTGTTTAAATTCTTCGTTCTTTTTTACAGTTTGATATACCTGTATCTATTTTAAGCTTTTCTTCTTATTATTATTTTCATCTTGGAAGCGGTTTAAGATGGACTGTACAGTCTTTTCCACAACCCCTGACATCTCGAAGGTGTTGGATGATGCAAGAGCTAGGGGTTGAGGGGCAGACGCACATTCATTTAAGCCGGGCGTATATACGTAGTCAACATTCTCAATGGCCATGCAAAATAATTGGCCTGGAATAATGGTTATTGACAATGGTTACTGTCTCATCTCACTAAATTAATGTCACGTCTGATTTCTTAATCCGGCCCTGACAGGGATAGGTGTTCGTTTGGTAGGCGGTTCAGACTCCATGGAAGGTCGAGTGGAGGTGTTCTGGAACGGTGCTTGGGGGACGGTCTGTGATGACCTCTGGGACCTAGAAGACGCAACAGTTATCTGCCGGGAACTGGGTTTTGGAGAAGCTTATGCGGCTCCCCATCAAGCTGCATTTGGTCGAGGAACCGGAGATATACTGTTGGATAATGTTGAGTGCACGGGTAACGAGGAGACGGTGTTTGATTGCACGGCAATAAGGGGATCGGGACACAACTGCGGGCATAGCGAGGATGCCGGGGTTCGATGTAGTAAGTTGTTGACAACAGACTGAGTTTTTTTTACGAGATCAAAAATACGTTGAACATAAACGCTATTATATCTCAAATTTGGGTTTTGTATAACACACATTGACTGAATCAAGGGCGGATCCAGAACACAATGTTTGGGGGCGGTCCAAAAAAATGTGGTCCGCAAAATTGTTTGATCCGCCCTTGGACTGAATTTGCTGAGGGAACCGTGGACATAGTGTTGGATGATGTTCGTTGTACGGGTAACGAACAGACGGTGTTTGATTGCCCGGCACGAAGTCTGGGAGACCACAACTGCGTGCATAGCGAGAATGCCGGGGTTCGATATAGTAAGTTGTTGACAACTGTTTACAGACTGAGGTTTTTTTTTACGAGATCGATAATACATTGTACATGAACGCTATTAATAATTCGGGTTTTGTAATAACACACACTGACTGAATTTGGTGAGGAAACCGTGGACATGGTGTTGGATGATGTTGGTTCCACGGGTAACGAGGAGACGTAAAATTGCACGGCAAGAAGACCGGGAGAACACGACTGCATTCATTACAAGGATGCCGGGGTTCGATGTAGTTAGTTGCAATGCTGACATCAAAATCCAGACTGTTTTTTTTATAAGTTAGTAAAAAAATTATAGTTTATGAAAGTTTTCGAATTTGAAAGTGTAAAATAGTATTTATTCACAGTAAAAAAACTCGTCATGATCGAAAATTTGATCTTAGACAATTTGTAATATCTGAGATGATTCAAAATGATACAGTATATGTAGTTGAAGAAGATTATAGTATAAGAAGCTAATATGTACACTATCTCAAAGTAATAACACACAATCACTGCCTTTTGCGCTTTCAGTATGCATGGTCTACCCCCACATTTCCATAAAGGCATACTGCAGTGCCAGAATTTCTCCCGGTATATGACAAGTGACATATTTTTGGTATTTTGATTATGCATATAGCTGGAGATCGACCCGTCATAATAATCTGCCCATCTAATCAGACGATCGATTCAGATTCAAACCAGAATTTTGCTACGGTCAACCTACCTGGTCCTGCCGTTCCATACCACAGCAGCATTGGACGGCTCGAAATCACTATTGACGTGGATGGTTCTACGCGTCGTGTTAATGACGAAGTCAGATTGAGTATTGCAGACTCTCCACACGTCTTGCAATTCAATGCAAGTGATGCAAACAACACTGCGACGTGCAGCACGCAAATCTCCGGTGTTGGTAGGCAATTATTATTATACCCCAATGTATACGTAATATGAGAACAATTTGAATGCAGTCTTTTAAAGTTTTGCTGGATCGATCCGAAGTGCCAGCGTTCTGTCCTGTGACTTTAATTCACTGACTCATCGAGTACAGGCCTACAACAAATTCCCTAAACTGGCACTTTTGGGTCCAGCTCTGCTAAAGGCCTATTTTTTGTTTTATTTTTTACGGTTCAGTTTTTAATTAAAAATGTAAAAAAATTGTTTAAATTGTTCGTTCTTATTTACAGTTTGATATAGCTATTTTAAGCTTTTATTATTATTTTTTTTAATCTGGGAAGCGGTTCAAGATGGACTGTACAGTCTTTTCCACAACCCCTGACATCTCGAAGGTGTTGGATGATGCAAGAGCTAGGGGTTGAGGGGCAGACGCACATTCATTTAAGCTTGGCGTAAATACGTAGTCAACATTCTCAATGGCTATGCAAAATAATTTGCCTGGAATAATGATTATTGACAATGGTTACTGTCTCATCTTACTAAATTAATGTCAAGTCTGATTTCTTAATCCGGCCCTGACAGGGATAGGTGTTCGTTTGGTAGGCGGGTCAGACTCCATGGAAGGTCGAGTGGAGGTGTTCAGGAACGGTGCTTGGGGGACGGTCTGTGATGACGACTGGGACCTACTAGACGCAACAGTTATCTGCCGGGAACTGGGTATTGGAGAAGCTTATGCGGCTCCCATTGGAGCTGCATTTGGTGGGGGAACCGGAGACATACTGTTGAATGAAGTTGATTGTATGGGTAACGAGCAGACGGTGTTTGACTGCCCGGCACGAAGTCTGGGAGACCACAACTGCGGGCATAGCGAGGATGCCGGGGTTGGATGTAGTAAGTTGTTGACAACAGTCTGAGTTTTTTTACGAGATCGAAAATACATTGTACATGAACGCTATTATAACTCAAATTCGGGTTTTGTAATAACACACATTCGGTGAGGGAACCGTGGACATAGTTTTGGGCCCAAAAAAAAGTCTTCGGTTTCTGGTATGGAGCTTGCACAAAAGTGGTGCAGCGACGTGGCTTTTGTTTTCTTTCTTTCTTTCCTTTTTTTCCCTTCAAATGTCGGCTGATGACTGCAAATGGTGCCCGACTTAATTTAGTGCAAAATATATGGGAGCCCAGAGAGGCCACACAAAGCTTATTACTCGATCGTAACCCCATCTTAAAAAAAAGACGTTATAATAGTGCAGCACAGTGATGTAGTGCCTTGATGCTGGGCCTTGGCCTTAAGGCTGCCTTAAGGCTGGATTTTAGGGCCTTGGCCTTGGCCTCGAGGCTTGAGGGCAAAAGCCTTGGCCTTGGCCTTGGCCTTGAGGGTTCAGGGCCTTGCAATTTTGAGTCAAGGCTCTTCAAGGCCCATAGATTTTTGCATTTTCCATGTCTCCCTGATAAGTGCTAAAGATTTGCATGTATCTGTTTTAGATAATGCTGATATTTCTGACCATGTTGGGCCACCAAATAAAAAAAATCCCAAATCAGATTCTTGGATCCCCCTTTTGATACACTTGGGAGAATTGTGTGTTAATATAGAAGTAAATCATTATTTTGTCTAGTTAAACCATATTGAAGACCTGAACTTATACTTTAATACATACAGTGCAGTCATAAAACTGTGTAGGCCTATGCAAGCATGTTGATTGCAGTTAAAGAAATGTTGTTCTTCGTAACGAGCAATTCGTTATGATAAGGGCGGATCCAGTGGGACAAAAGGGGCCATGCCCCCCCCCCCAAAAAAAAACCAAAAACGAAACCGTTTTTTTTAATGTGACGTCGTAATAAAGGCAGGCAATGAGTACACCACCATCTTTTCCTCCAAAAACATTTGTAAAAATGGTCAGAAATTGCCTCAAATCGCACCACAGAGCATATCTCGAATCCAAATTTATTTCGAGGCTCTTAAGCGGGCCCCGAAGCACAAGCCGTAATTTGTTTACCCACTTTTTTTGGGGGGGGGGACCAACATTTCTTTGCCCCCCCCCCCCAAATTGTGTTCTCGATCCGCCCTTGCGTGATGACGTGTCACTCATGTGACTATAATTAGTTCTATATCAGTGGTCATTTCATAAAACAGGGCCTTGGCCTTGGCCTTGGCCTTGAGGGTTAAGCCTTGGCCTTGGCCTCGAGGCTTGAGGGTCAAAGCCTTGGCCTTGGCCTTGGCCTTGAGGGTCAAAGCCTTTGCTCCAACACTGCAGCAGCAGGATTCCAGTCAAACCAGTGAGTTTGGCGATTTTGAGACATCATCTTACATTGAAAAAAAATGTTTTAATTTTGCCGACACGAATGGCTACGGCGACGCGCGCGCAGACCAGAAACAGGAGGCTTTTTTGGGCCTTAGACGATGTTCTTTGTGCGGGTAACGAGGAGACGGTGAAATTGCACGGCAAGAAGACCGGGAGCATAGGACTGCATTCAATACGAGGATGCCGGGGTTCGATGTAGTTAGTTGCAACGCTGACATCAAAATCCAGACTGATTTTTTATAAGATAGTAAAAAAATAAAAGTATGTTCACCATCTCCAAGGAATAACACACAATCACTGCCTTTTGCGCTTTCAGTATGCATGGTCTACTCCCGCATTTCCCTAAAGGCATATTGCAGTGCCAGAATTTCTCCCGGTATATGACAAGTGACATATTTTTGGTATTTTGATTATGCTTGTAGCTGGAGATCGACCCGTCAAAATAATCTGCCCATCTAATCAGACGATCGATTCAGATTCAAACCAGAACTTCGCTACGGTCAACCTACCTGGTCCTGCCGCTTCGTACCACAGCAGCCTTGGATGGTTCGAAATCACTATTGACGTGGATGGTTCTACGCGTCGTGTTAATGACGAAGTCAGATTGAGTATTGCAGACTCTCCACACGTCTTGCAATTCAATGCAAGTGATGCAAACAACACTGCGACGTGCAGCACGCAAATCTCCGTTGTTGGTAGGCAATTATTATTATACCCCAATGTATACGTAATATGAGATCAATTTGAATGCAGTCTTTTAAAGTTTTGCTTGATCGATCCGAAGTGCCAGCGTTCTGTCCTGTGACTTTAATACACTGACTAATTGAGTATGGGCAAACAAATAATGCCCGAAACTGGCACTTTTGGGTCCAGCTAGGCTATAGGCCTATCATGTTTGTTTTTCATCAGTTTATTTTTGAATTTTGAATTTTTAATATTGTTCGTTCTCATTTACAGTTTGATACACCTGTAGCTATTTTAAGCTGTTATTATTATTTTTTATCTGGAAGCGGTTCACGATGGACTGAACAGTCTTTTCCACAACCCCTGACATCTCGAAGGTGTTGGATGATGCAAGAGCTAGGGGTTGAGGGGCAGACTCGCACTCATTTAAGCCTTGCCTACGAAGTCAACATTCCCAATGGCCATGCAAAATAATTAACATGGAATAATGCTGATTGACAATGGTTACTGTCTCATCTTACTAAATTAATGTCAAGTCTGATTTCTGGATCCGGCCCTGACAGGGATAGGTGTTCGTTTGGTAGGCGGTTCAGACTCCATGGAAGGTCGAGTTGAGGTGTTCTGGAACGGTGCTTGGGGGACGGTCTGTGATGACGACTGGGACCTACAAGATGCAACCGTTATCTGCCGGGAACTGGGTTTTGGAGAAGCTTATGCAGCTCCCCATCAAGCTGCATTTGGTCGAGGAACCGGAGATATACTGTTGGATAATGTTGAGTGCACGGGTAACGAAGAGACGGTGTTTGATTGCACGGCAATAAGGGGATCGGGACACAACTGCGGGCATAGCAAGGATGCCGGGGTTCAATGTAGTAAGTTGTTGACAATAGACTGAGTTTTTTTACGAGATCGAAAATACATTGTGCATGAACGCTTTTATAACTCAAATTCGGGTTTTGTAATAACACACACTGACTGAATTTGGTGAGGGAACCGTGGACATGGTGTTGGATGATGTTGGTTGCACGGGTAACGAGCAGACGGTGAAAAAAAAAACCAGTATACCACGACTGCATTCATTACGAGGATGCCAGGGTTCGATGTACTTAGTTGCAATGGTGACGTCAAAATCCAGACTGGTTTTGATAAGATTGTAAAAAAAATTATAGTCATAGAAAAGAAGATCATGTACACTATCTCAAAGTCATAACACACAATCACTGCCTTTTGCGCTTTCAGTATGCATGGTCTACCCCCACAATTCCATAAAGGCATATTGCAGTGCCAGAATTTCTCCCGGTATATGACAAGTGACATATTTTTGGTATTTTGATTATGCTTAGCTGGAGATCGAGCCGTCATAATCTGCCCATCTAATCAGACGATCGATTCAGATTCAAACCAGAACTTTGCTACGGTCAACCTACCTGGTCCTGCCGCTTCGTACCACAGCAGGCTGGGACGGCTCGAAATCACTATTGACGTGGATGGTTCTACGCATCGTGTTAATGACGAAGTCAGATTGAGTATTGCAGACTCTCCACACGTATTGCATTTCAATGCAAGTGATGCAAACAACACTGTGACGTGCAGCACGCAAATCTCCGTTGTTGGTAGGCAATTATTATTATACCCCAATGTATACGTAATATGAGAACAATTTGAATGCAGTCTTTTAAAGTTTTGCTGGATCGATCCGAAGTGCCAGCGTTCTGTCCTGTGACTATAATTCACTGACTCATCGAGTACAGGACTACAACAAATTCCCTAAACTGGCACTTTTGGGTCCAGCTCTGCTAAAGGCCTATTTTTTAATTTTATTTTTGACAGTTTATTTTTGAATTTAAAATGTTAAAAATTTGTTTAAATTCTTCGTTCTTTTTTACAGTTTGATATACCTGTATCTATTTTAAGCTTTTATTATTATTATTTTTTTTTTATCTTGGAAGCGGTTTAAGATGGACTGTACAGTCTTTTCCACAACCCCTGACATCTCGAAGGTGTTGGATGATGCAAGAGCTAGGGGTTGAGGGGCAGACGCACATTCATTTAAGCTTGGCGTATATACGTAGTCAACATTCTCAAAGGCCATATAAATTATTTGCCTGGAATAATGATTATTGACAATGGTTACTGTCTCATCTTACTAAATTAATGTCAAGTCTGATTTCTTAATCCGGCCCTGACAGGGATAGGTGTTCGTTTGGTAGGCGGTTCAGACTCCATGGAAGGTCGAGTGGAGGTGTTCAGGAACGGTGCTTGGGGGACGGTCTGTGATGACGACTGGGACCTACTAGACGCAACAGTTATCTGCCGGGAACTGGGTATTGGAGAAGCTTATGCGGCTCCCATTGGAGCTGCATTTGGTGGGGGAACCGGAGACATACTGTTGAATGAAGTTGATTGTACGGGTAACGAGCAGACGGTGTTTGACTGCCCGGCACGAAGTCTGGGAGACCACAACTGCGGGCATAGCGAGGATGCAGGGGTTGGATGTAGTAAGTTGTTGACAACAGTCTGAGTTTTTTTACGAGATCGAAAATACATTGTACATGAACGCTATTATAACTCAAATTCGGGTTTTGTAATAACACACATTCGGTGAGGGAACCGTGGACATAGTTTTGGGCCCAAAAAAAAGTCTTCGGTTTCTGGTATGGAGCTTGCCCAAAAGTGGTGCAGCGACGTGGCTTTTGTTTTCTTTCTTTCTTTCCTTTTTTTCCCTTCAAATGTCGGCTGATGACTGCAAATGGTGCCCGACTTAATTTAGTACAAAATATATGGGAGCCCAGAGAGGCCACACAAAGCTTATTACTCGATCGTAACCCCATCTTAAAAAAAGACGTTATAATAGTGCAGCAGCAGGATTCCAGTCAAACCAGTGAGTTTGGCGATTTTGAGACATCATCTTACATTGAAAAAAAATGTTTTAATTTTGCCGACACGAATGGCTACGGCGACGCGCGCGCAGACCAGAAACAGGAGGCTTTTTTGGGCCTTAGACGATGTTCTTTGTGCGGGTAACGAGGAGACGGTGAAATTGCACGGCAAGAAGACCGGGAGCATAGGACTGCATTCAATACGAGGATGCCGGGGTTCGATGTAGTTAGTTGCAACGCTGACATCAAAATCCAGACTGATTTTTTTATAAGATAGTAAAAAAATAAAAGTATGTACACTATCTCCAAGGAATAACACACAATCACTGCCTTTTGCGCTTTCAGTATGCATGGTCTACTCCCGCATTTCCCTAAAGGCATATTGCAGTGCCGGAATTTCTCCAGGTATATGGCAAGTGACAAATTTTTGGTATTTTGATTATGCTTGTAGCTGGAGATCGACCCGTCAAAATAATCTGCCCATCTAATCAGACGATCGATTCAGATTCAAACCAGAACTTCGCGACGGTCAACCTACCTGGTCCTGCCGCTTCGTACCACAGCAGCCTTGGATGGCTCGAAATCACTATTGACGTGGATGGTTCTACGCGTCGTGTTAATGACGAAGTCAGATTGAGTATTGCAGACTCTCCACACGTCTTGCAATTCAATGCAAGTGATGCAAACAACACTGCGACGTGCAGCACGCAAATCTCCGTTGTTGGTAGGCAATTATTATTATACCCCAATGTATACGTAATATGAGATCAATTTGAATGCAGTCTTTTAAAGTTTTGCTGGATCGATCCGAAGTGCCAGCGTTCTGTCCTGTGACTTTAATTCACTGACTAATTGAGTATGGGCAAACAAATAATGCCCGAAACTGGCACTTTTGGGTCCAGCTCGGATATAGGCCTATCATGTTTGTTTTTCATCAGTTTATTTTTGAATTTTTGAATTTTTAATATTGTTCGTTCTCATTTACAGATTGATACACCTGAAGCTATTTTAAGCTGTTATTATTATTATTGTTTATCTGGAAGCGGTTCACGATGGACTGTACAGTCTTTTCCACAACCCCTGACATCTCGAAGGTGTTGGATGATGCAAGAGCTAGGGGTTGAGGGGCAGACGCACATTCATTTAAGCCGGGCGTATATACGTAGTCAACATTCTCAATGGCCATGCAAAATAATTGGCCTGGAGTAATGGTTATTGACAATGGTTACTGTCTCATCTCACTAAATTAATGTCACGTCTGATTTCTTAATCCGGCCCTGACAGGGATAGGTGTTCGTTTGGTAGGCGGTTCAGACTCCATGGAAGGTCGAGTGGAGGTGTTCTGGAACGGTGCTTGGGGGACGGTCTGTGATGACCTCTGGGACCTAGAAGACGCAACAGTTATCTGCCGGGAACTGGGTTTTGGAGAAGCTTATGCGGCTCCCCATCAAGCTGCATTTGGTCGAGGAACCGGAGATATACTGTTGGATAATGTTGGTTGCACGGGTAACGAGCAGACGGTGTTTGATTGCACGGCAATAAGGGGATCGGGACACAACTGCGGGCATAGCGAGGATGCCGGGGTTCGATGTAGTAAGTTGTTGACAACAGACTGAGTTTTTTTTACGAGATCAAAAATACGTTGAACATAAACGCTATTATATCTCAAATTTGGGTTTTGTATAACACACATTGACTGAATCAAGGGCGGATCCAGAACACAATGTTTGGGGGCGGTCCAAAAAAATGTGGTCCGCAAAATTGTTTGATCCGCCCTTGGACTGAATTTGCTGAGGGAACCGTGGACATAGTGTTGGATGATGTTCGTTGTACGGGTAACGAACAGACGGTGTTTGATTGCCCGGCACGAAGTCTGGGAGACCACAACTGCGTGCATAGCGAGAATGCCGGGGTTCGATATAGTAAGTTGTTGACAACAGACTGAGTTTTTTTTTTACGAGATCGATAATACATTGTACATGAACGCTATTAATAATTCGGGTTTTGTAATAACACACACTGACTGAATTTGGTAAGGGAACCGTAGACATGGTGTTGGATGATGTTGGTTCAACGGGTAACGAGGAGACGGTGAAATTGCACGGCAAGAAGACCGGGTGAACACGACTGCATTCATTACAAGGATGCCGGGGTTCGATGTAGATAGTTGCAATGCTGACATCAAAATCCAGACTGTTTTTTTGATAAGTTAGTAAAAAAATTATAGTTTATGAAAGTTTTCGAATTTGAAAGTGTAAAATAGTATTTATTCACAGTAAAAAAATTCGTCATGATCGAAAATTTGATCTTAGACAATTTGTAATATCTGAGATGATTCAAAATGATACAGTATATGTAGTTGAAGAAGATTATAGTATAAGAAGTTAATATGTACACTATCTCAATGTAATAACACACAATCACTGCCTTTTGCGCTTTCAGTATGCATGGTCTACCCCGACATTTCCCTAAAGGCATACTGCAGTGCCAGAATTTCTCCCGGTATATGACAAGTGACATATTTTTGGTATTTTGATTATGCTTGTAGCTGGAGATCGACCCGTCATAATAATCTGCCCATCTAATCAGACGATCGATTCAGATTCAAACCAGAACTTCGCTACGGTCAACCTACCTGGTCCTGCCGCTTCGTACCACAGCAGCCTTGGACAGCTCGAAATCACCATTGACGTGGATGGTTCTACGCGTCGTGTTAATGACGAAGTCAGATTGAGTATTGCAGACTCTCCACACGTCTTGCAATTCAATGCAAGTGATGCAAACAACACTGCGACGTGCAGCACGCAAATCTCCGTTCTTGGTAGGCAATTATTAATATACCCAAATGTACATGTATACGTAATATGAGAACAATTTGAATGTAGTCTTTTAAAGTTTTGCTGGATCGATCCGAAGTGGCAGCGTTCTGTCCTGTGACTTTAATTCTCTGACTCATCGAGTACAGGCCTACAAAAAATGCCCTAAACTGGCACTTTTGGGTCCAGCTCTGCTAAAGGCCTATTTTTTACTATATTTTTTACGGTTTATTTTTTAATTTAAAATGTTAAAAATATTGTTTAAATTGTTCGTTCTTATTTACAGTTTGATATAGCTATTTTAAATTTTTATTATTATTCTTTTTTTTATATGGTAAGCGGTTCAAGATGGACTGTACAGTCTTTTCCACAACCCCTGACATCTCGAAGGTGTTGGATGATGCAAGAGCTGGGGGTTGAGGGGCAGACGCACATTCTTTTTAAGCCGGGAGTATATACGTAGTCAACATTCTCAATGGCCATGCAAAATAATTGGCCTGGAATAATGGTAATTGACAATGGTTACTGTCTCACCTTACTAAATTAATGTCAAGTCTGATTTCTTAATCCGGCCCTGACAGGGATAGGTGTTCGTTTGGTAGGCGGTTCAGACTCCATGGAAGGTCGCGTTGAGGTGTTCTGGAACGGTGCTTGGGGGATGGTCTGTGATGACGACTGGGACCTACAAGACGCAACCGTTATCTGCCGGGAACTGGGTTTTGGAGAAGCTTATGCGGCTCCCATTGGAGCTGCATTTGGTGAGGGGACCGGAGACATACTGTTGGATGACGTTAAGTGCACGGGTAACGAGCAGACGGTGTTTGATTGCCCGGCACGAAGTCTGGGAGCCCACAACTGCTGGCATGACGAGGATGCCGGGGTTCGATGTAGTAAGTTGGTGACAACAGACTGAGGGTTTTTTTACGAGATCGAAAATACATTGCACATGAACGCTATTATAACTTAAATTCGGGTTTTGTAATAACACACACTGACTGAATTTGGTAAGGGAACCGTGGACATATTGTTGGATGATGTTGGTTGCACGTGAAACGAGGAGACGGTGAAAAAAAGACCAGGATACCGCAACTGCATTCATTACGAGGATGCCGGGGTTCGATGTAGTTAGTTGCAATGCTGACATCAAAATCCAGACTGGTTTTTATAAGATTGTAAAAAAATTATAGTCATAAAAAAGAAGATTATGTACACTATCTCAAAGTAATAACACACATCACTGCCTTTTGCGCTTTCAGTATGCATGGTTTACTCCCACATTTTCCTAAAGGCATATTGCGGTGCCAGATTTTCTCCCGGTATATGACAAGTGACATATTTTTGGTATTTTGATTATGCTTAGCTGGAGACCGACCCGTCATAATAATCTGCCCATCTAATCAGACGATCGTGTCAGATCGACACCAGACCTTCGCTACGGTCAACCTACCTGGTCCTGCCGCTTCGTACCACAGCAGCCTTGGACGGCTCGAAATCACCATTGACGTGGATGGTTCTACGCGTCGTGTTAATGACGAAGTCAGATTGAGTATTGCAAACTCTCCACACGTCTTGCAATTCAATGCAAGTGATGCAAACAACACTGCGACGTGCAGCACGCAAATCTCTGTTCTTGGTAGGTAATTATTAAAGGTTTTGCCCGTCCTGGACAATTTTGGAAAATGTGCATTTGAATTTGTAAAGCATAAATTCAATTTGGCGCTGATTTTGAGAACGACGTATATCCGGGTTTCATTTTGGCAATAACTAGTATTCAATTTCATTTTGCACCATTCAAATAAATGAATGTGCATAACGTTTCATTTAAAGGATTACAAATACGTGATTAGACTTTCGGTTTGACGGATGCGTTGCCGACTATTACAAATGTGCAATCCAATTCGCAGAAAATCGATTTGTTATTGTGACACGGGCTGAATTGTACATTCTTTTCATTCGTCATAATTTATATCGCAAAGTCTGCATTCATTATAAATAAAGTATACAGCCTATACAAATCATGATAAAGCTTTGACTGATTCATTGATTAATCAATGTATTGTAGACCCAATTGATCATTAATGCGTTCGTTCTTATGTACACAAAGGCCTATTTGAAATAGGCAAATGAAATGTTGAAAAGATACAAATCTTACCAAAATAAAATCAATCAAAATAATCTTGTAAGCATATTATTGGGACGGTAAAGGGAAACATCACGTGTCATGTTACATGGGATCCGGGGACTTTTTTTGTTGTTTCTTTGTCTTAATAGCATTTTAATGTCTTTCTGTATGTCTTAAAGTTCTGTCTCATTTCACCCGTTCGATTGCTTGGTTATATGATGCGATTGTGGCAAATGCTGAGCAAAAAAAAAGAACAGTTGTCTTCATCTAAGGTTTTTATATAGGATTTATTACAATAGTTGGTATGTTTTGAAAGACTACACCACTTGGTTTAGTTCAATCATCATGAATATTCAAAATTCAATCATTCAATCAAACATTCCTCATTTGTTAATTTTGTGAACACATCAATGAATTCTTGACTCGGCGTACGTTTAATGCGGGAAATCGACTGCACATTTAGCAAAATAGATTGATGATAAATTAAAAGGAATAAAGATTGCGGATGTTCCTTCGATTTCGCGCTAAAATGAAATGTCAATGTACCAAATTCAGTGCACATTCGGGAAATCGTACGCTGATTTTCTACGACTGAATACACCTTCATGGAAATAGAATTATCATTTGTTAAAAAGAAACAGGGATTTGGAACGTTCATTCTATTTTGCACGAAAACGAAAGCTTCTTTTACAGATTCTTGTACACATTTTCAGAAATTGTTCGGGAAAACCTATATTATACCCCATGTATAAGCCTATGTAATATAAGATCAATTTGAATGCAGTCTTTTAAAGCTTTGCGGGATCGATCCGAAGCGCCAGCGTTCTGTCCTGTGATTTTATTTCACTACAAATAATGACCCAAAACTGGCACTTTTGGGTCCAGCTCGGCTATAGGCCTATCATGGATTTTATTTGTCAATTTATTTTTGAATTTAAAATGTTTTAATTTTTTTTGTTTAAAGGGAATATACAACATTTGCAAACATCGAAAAATAAAACTACCAAGTTTTTGCGAAATACCTTAATAGGACGTTGGTAGATGACAGTCTAAAACATCCTGTAAAATTATGGCACCTGGTATACTGTCATTTTCAAGAAAAGTGGTATTTTTGTATCAATTTCCAACGCTGATCGGCCGATCAGCGTTGGAAACAACTGGCTTTTTTTCAAATACTGGCCCCAATTGACTATTGCACTTGTTTGCAATCGATTACAAACCTATGAACGGGTACGAGCCAGCTAGACTGGTTCCCTGACCTTACAATTCCCCAATGTATGTAAACTGCTCTGTTTCTTCTTATATGGAGTCAGGGAACCAGACTACAGGTAAATGATCGTTTTTCTTGGTTTTTATAGCATTTTCGAACCCAAAACCTCCAAAAAGTCAGTGTAACTACATTTGCTTTATATTTCCAATCCCCCAATTCCATCCATTTCTGAAAATTACAGCAAAAGCAAATGATGTATATTCCCTTTAATATTGTTCGTTCACATTTACATGTTGATATACCGGTAGCTATTTTAAGCTTTTATTATTATTTTTTATCTGGGAAGTGGTTCAAGATGGACTGTACAGTCTTTTCCACAACCCCTGACATCTCGAAGGTGTTGGATGATGCAAGAGCTAGGGGTTGAGGGAAAGACGCACACTCATTTTAAGCCGGGCGTATAGGTAGTCAACTTTCTCAACGGCCATGCAAAATTGGCCGGGAATAATAATTATTGACTATGGTTATACTGTCTTATCTAACTAAATTAATTTGTCAAGTTTGATTTCTGGATCCGGCCCTGACAGGGATAGGTGTTCGTTTGGTAGGCGGTTCAGACTCCATGGAAGGTCGAGTGGAGGTGTTCTGGAACGGTGCTTGGGGGACGGTCTGTGATAGAGGCTGGGACTTACGAGACGCAACCGTTATCTGCCGGGAACTGGGTTTTGGAGAAGCTTATGCGGCTCCCCGTCGAGCTGTATTTGGTGAGGGAACCGGAGCCATAGTGTTGAATGGTGTTCGTTGCACGGGTAACGAGGAGACGGTGTTTGATTGCCGGGCTACAAGGGGATCGGGACACAACTGCTGGCATGAGGAGGATGCCGGGGTTCGATGTAGTAAGTTGTTGACAGCAGACTGAGTTATGCACGATATTATAACTTAAATTCGGGTTTTGTAATAACACACACTGACTGAATTTGGTGAGGGAACCGTGGACATATTGTTGGATGATGTTGGTTGCACGTGTAACGAGGAGACGGTGAAAAAAAAGACCAGGATACCACGACTGCATTCATTACGAGGATGCAGGGGTTCGATGTAGTTAGTTGCAATGCTGACATCAAAATCCAGACTGGTTTTTATAAGATTGTAAAAAAAAATAATAGTCATGGAAAAGAAGGTTATGTACACTATCTCAAAGTAATAACACACAATCACTGCCTTTTGCGCTTTCAGTATGCATGGTTTTCCCCCACATTTCCCTAAAAGGCATATTGCACTGCCATAATTTCTCCCGGTACATGACAAGTGACATATTTTTGGTATTTTAATTATGCTTAGCTGGAGATCGGCCCGTCATTATAATCTGCCCATCTAATCAGACGATCGATTCAGATTCAAACCAGAACTTCGCAACGGTCAACCTACCTGGTCCTGCCGCTTCGTACCACAGCAGCCTTGGACGGCTCGAAATCACTATTGACGTGGATGGTTCTACGCGTCGCGTTAATGACGAAGTCAGATTGAGTATTGCAAACTCTCCACACGTCTTGCAATTCAATGCAAGTGATGCAAACAACACTGCGACGTGCAGCATGCAAATCTCTGTTCTTGGTAGGCAATTATTATTATACCCCCGATGTATATGTAATATGAAAACAATTTGATTGCAGTCTTTTAAAGTTTTGCTGGATCGATCCGAAGTGTCAGCATTCTGTCTTGTGACTTTAATTCACTGACTCATCGAGTACAGGCCTACAAAAAAATGCCCTAAACTGACCCTTTTTGGTCCAGCTCTGCTAAAGGCCTATTTTTTATTAAATTTTTTTACAATTTTTTATTGAATTTAAAATGTTAAGATATTTGTTTAAATTGTTCGTTCTTTTTTACAGTTTGATAAACCTGTAGCTGTTTTAAGCTGTTAATATTATTTTTAATCTGGGAAGCGGTTTAAATATGGACTTTACAGTCTTTTCCACAACCCCTGACATCTCGAAGGTGTTGGATGATGCAAGAGGGGTTGAGGGGCAGACGCACATTCATTTAAGCCGGGCGTGTATACGTAGTCAACATTCTCAATGGCCGTGCAAAATAATTGGCCTGGAATAATGATTATTGACTATGGTTATACTGTCTCATCTAACTAAATTAATTTGTCAAGTCTGATTTCTGGATCCGGCCCTGACAGGGATAGGTGTTCGTTTGGTAGGCGGTTCAGACTCCATGGAAGGTCGAGTGGAGGTGTTCTGGAACGGTGCTTGGGGGACGGTCTGTGATGACGACTGGGACCTACAAGACGCAACCGTTATCTGCCGGGAACTGGGTTACGGAGAAGCTTATGCAGCTCCCCATGAAGCTGCATTTGGTCGAGGAACCGGAGACATACTGTTGGATGAAGTTCGTTGCACGGGTAACGAGGAGACGGTGTTTGATTGCACGGCAATAAGGGGATCGGGACACGACTGCAGTCATTACGAGGATGCCGGGGTTCGATGTAGTAAGTTGTTAATGTTGACAACAGACTGATTTTTTTTACGAGATCGAAAATACATTTAACATGTTTTGTAATAACACACATTGACTGAATCAAGGGCGGATCCAGAACACAATTTTTGGGGGGCGGCCAAAAAAATAATTTGGTCCCGCAAAAAAGGGGTCCAAAACTTTACGGCAAGGGGCTCAGGGCCCGCTTAAGGGTCCCGAAAGTGTTTTTGATTCTAGATGCTCTGTGGTGCGTTCTGAGACAATTTCTGACCACTTTACCCAAATTTTGTGAGGAAAAGATGGTGGTGTACGCAGTTTTTTTCATTTTTTGCGACGTCACTAAAACAAAATTGGGTTCTTTTTTGGGGAGGGGGCATGGCCCCCGTTGCCCCCCCCCCCCCGGCCGCCCTTGGACTGAATTTGGTGAGGGAACCGTGGACAAAGTGTTGGATGATGTTCGTTGCACGGGTAACGAACAGACGGTGTTTGAATACCCGGCACGAAGTCTGGGAGACCACAACTGCGTGCATTACGAGGATGCCGGGGTTCGATGTAGTAAGTTGTTGACAACAGACTGAGTTTTTTTACGAGATCGAAAATACATTGTACATGAACGCTATTAATAATTCGGGTTTTGTAATAACACAAACTGACTGAATTTGGTGAGGGAACCGTGGACATGGTGTTGGATGATGTTGGTTGCACGGGTAACGAGCAGGCGGTGAAATTGCACGGCAAGAAGACCGGGAGAACACGACTGCATTCATTACGAGGATGCCGGGGTTCGGTGTAGTTAGTTGCAATGCTGACATCAAAATCCAGACTGTTTTTTTATAAGATAGTAAAAAAATTACAGTTTATGAAAGTTTTCGAATTTGAAAGTGTAAAATAGTATTTATTCACAGTAACATAACTCGTCATGATCGAACATTTGATCTGAGACAATTTGTAATATCGGAGATGATTCAAAATGATACAGTATGTAGTTGAAGAAGATTATAGTATAAGAAGTTAATATGTACACTATCTCAAAGTAATAACACACAATCACTGCCTTTTGCGCTTTCAGTATGCATGGTCTACCCCACATGTCCATAAAGGCATATTGCACTGCCAGAATTTCTCCCGGTATATGACAAGTGACATATTTTTGGTGTTTTAATTATGCTTAGCTGGAGATCGACCCGTCATTATAATCTGCCCATCTAATCAGACGATCGAGTCAGATCCAAACCAGAACTTCGTTACGGTCAACCTACCTGGTCCTGCCGCTTCATACCACAGCAGCCTTGGATGGTTCGAAATCACTATTGACGTGGATGGTTCTACGCGTCGTGTTAATGACGAAGTCAGATTGAGTATTGCAAACTCTCTACACGTCTTGCAGTTCAATGCAAGTGATGCAAACAACACTGCGACGTGCAGCTCGCAAATCTCCGTTCTTGGTAGGCAATTATTATTATACCCCAATGTATATGTAATATAAGATCAATTTGAAATGCAGTCTAAAGTTTTGCTCAATCGATCCGAAGTGCCAGCGTTGTGTCCTATGACTTTAATTCACTGACTCTCATTAAGTATAGGCCTACCAATAATGCTCTAAACTCAGTCTGGCACTTTTGGGTCCAGCTCGGCTGTGGGCCTATCATGGTTTTTTTTTATCAGTACATTTTTGAATTTAAAATGATTTTCTTTTAATTAATCATTTTTTTTAAATATCGTTCGTTCTCATTTCAGTTTGATATAGCTATTTTAAGCTTTTAATATAATTGTTTATATAAATGTTTCCTCAGTTAATCAGCCGCCAGTGATCACCTGCCCACCCAATCAGACGATTCAGACATATCCAAATCAAAACTTCGCAACAGTAACCTTACCCGAACCAGCCTCTGCATCCGACAACAGCGGATGGTTCGAAATCACCATTGACGCGGATGGTTCTACGCGTCGTGTAAATGACAGAATCAGTTTGAGTCTTACGCAGTCTAGACACACATTGCAGTACACTGCAAGAGATGCCAGCAACAACTTTGCCACATGCACCATGCAAATCACTGTTATAGGTAAGCAGTCATTTCCTGTGTTTACACCCGAACCTACTTTGACATGGAAAACCTTTTTTTTCCCTTTTGCTGCGAAATAGAAATTTTGCAAAATCAAAACAACAAAACTTGAGTATACGTAGTAGTTCCTTACAAGTGATGTTTCAAAACCAATTTTTTTATGACATCGACTAATCCAGCGTGTTTTTTCCCCCGGCAATCGCAAGTAGATTTTGGTAAATGCTTAAGGTGTGTACGCCTATACACTCTTCTTCGTATCCATCTGTATGTGATGCGTACGTGCAGGTTTACCAAACTTATTCGTGCTTGATACATCTTGCTAGAATACAATTTTTGTCTACTTTCTCAGTTGTGAAACTCGTCTGCCCAGCCAATTTCTCAGCATTAGCAAGTCCTGGCTCGACCAGCATATGAGCATTTGAAGACTTGGCAAATATAGTTCAAAGAGTTTGTTTGGAACCCTTTTCAAGATATTACACCAAAACAAGTTTAACATTGACTTAGTGAGAGAAGAAACATTTTGCCGTGCTTTTACAACAGGTCAGTGCCCAACCAACACAACCACTGACGGTCTGAGATGGCCTGTAGCAGTAGCTGGATCCACTGCCAAGTCTGTCCAACGATGTCCACTGACATCTGCAAATGGTTTGACTTCACCTCTCACAGTCTTTGAAACTTTTTCCATGGTCCATAATGTTTCTTGTTCTGCCTGATGTATCCAATCTTTCTTGTAATCTTCGCGATCGTCTCTCCACCTCAATTCTTCCTCTTTTTCGTTCGCTGTTTCTTGGCCGCAAGTCTCACTTATATCGCATTGATTCGCACAATTCAGTTTGTTCTGATAAAATGGTTTTGTTCATCTAAAATATTGCTTTTTGATCACCCTAAATGAAGCTGGTCAACCCGTAGCTGTCCGAAACTGTTCAAAGTTGGAGGCGCCTCTCTACTTCCGATGGGAGAAGCAGCAGACTCGTGGCTGCGGGGACAAGAAGGAAGTCTCTCTCGATAACGTCGTCAAGGTAATTTGTTTTATCTCAGGACGTTAATTGATCCAAATGGTATGATGGCTCAGTTTTCAAAAGGGCATTATATTGATGGCTCTTGTAGAGATGTCCTAGTTTATGAATCACGCTGCATGTACGTGTTTACTTGAGCAAATTATCAAAAACTGTAGGCAGATGCGGTGTTTTAAGAAGCTTAGATATGAAGATGTGACCATGAACCATATTCATTGACAGGTTGAGGTTAGCAAAGGCAATGCAGTCGAAGTGGCCGAGTTTCTTGCCAATCAGACGTCAGAGTCATCTAAGGAGGCAGAAGATGTTACGATGGTTGCCAGCATTTTGGAGAACATCGCAAAAGCAGGATCGGGGGACAAAGAGGTAAGTTGATAACCATTCCGGAGAGGGGACTTATACTTAGGTTCAAAGAAGAAAGGGCTGTGGAACAGCGATATGGTAGAAATGTATGTAACTGAAGTTAATTATAATCATAATTTCTTGAAGGTGACAGAACTGGTGCTGGAGACTGTCAGCAATGTCATCATGAGTGTTGGGCCTGAAACTCATGACTCCGAGCCCACTCAGATCGAGGCTGGTACCTCCTCAGCCATCGTTAAGTCCGTTGAGACTCAAATCTCCCTGACACTTCAGCAAGAGGGTAAAGTCAGTATACGTCAGGACTCCATCCACGTGGAGGCGGTCAGTCTTGAGCCAAACCAGACCAGGAACGGACTCAGCTTCGTGTCCGTGAAACAGTCTAATGTGACGTCTCCTGGACAAGGGTCACCGCAAGAGGGCACCCTTGCCGGTACCGAGGTCGAGACTTTGTACTCTAGTATGATACCAAAGGATCTCGATGTCTTGGCATCGGCTCGGTTGCCTGGCAACATCACTAATTTGCTACCGTCCCCTGATGGTAAGTTCATCATTCATGTGTGATCAAAGATTATGTACAATAATCGATATTTGATAAGATAAAAAAAGAGGGTGGGGCTACCCGGTGGTTGCTGAGGTCTACTATGCAAGCAATGGTTCAAATTGTGCCTACGTTTGAGACGCACTGCTGTTCCTTGTTGAAAGTGGAGTTATGATGGAAATGTTGGGATAACCTAAGCCTCCGGAAGTAGATTCTTATAGAATCTTAAACATCTTTCAAGGGATGACACTATGAAACGTTGTTTGTTGATAAGATTTTCGGGGGAAGTGCAAACCAAATATGAGAAACGTACCTCTTTAAACTATTTCTTCACAATGTAGCTCAGCTGCAAGCCAGTTTCCTGATTTACGCTGATGACACGTTGTTCCAGTCTGCTTCGATCAAAGAGCATCGAGGGGAGGGTAACTCGACTCGAAAGGTCGCTGGATCTGTCGTCTCACTGACTGTGGAGAATGTTGAACTTGTCAACCTCACAGAACCAGTCGTGATTGAATTCAAGGTGATCATGAGATAATTAATATTCAAGTTCATCCAGAGTAGAATACTTCACTGTTGCACGAGGGCCTATTCCTGCCAACTTAACATCAATGTCCAAGTTAATCAATTCAGATTGTACCCTCAATTTTGTGTAACCTTTTATCAATCTTCCGATTTCGATACTTAGGAGGAATCAAGCGAAGTCCACTGCGTGTCCTGGGACTTTGAGCTGGAAGATGGAGTCGGCGATTGGACGACAGATGGATGCGCGCTTGCTGAAGTGACCAATAAGACAGTCGTGTGTAATTGCTCTCATGCTACCAACTTCGCAATCCTAGTGGTATGTATAGTTCAATCTTGTGATTCCAAACTACTTCATACAGCTTTTTTTCCCATTTAAGAATGTAACAATTGCAGCCTCAAGGTGACTAGACTCCCGCAGGTTGCACCAACATTAGATCATGGAGCACATCACAAAGCAAATGAGTACCCCTTTCAGTTCGAAGAAAGATCGACACTACTTTAAGCCATACGAAAAGGAAAGGTCCGTTCAGTCAGGAAAAGAAGGAAAGTTATCAGGAAAAATACAACACATTGTTCTATAAAATCTACATGATTTCCCCGTTTGTACCTTTTTGAAATGCCTACGTTCAATGCCAACAAAAACACTTCATCTTCACACACTGAATGTTTCTCTACGTTTTTAATTAGGAGATCATTTTACTTGTTGGATATATAGATGCTACTATGAAAATTGGCTGGATTGGTAACTGGTATGAGGTTTCTTGCAGGATGTGAAGGGCCAAGCACCTGATGACAAAGATGACACTCCTGCTAAGCGAGCGCTTGATATCATCAGCCAGGTTGGCGCTGCACTGTCGATCATAGCTCTGGCCATCACGCTGATCATATACTTAGCTATCAGGTAAGATCATTGTAATGAAACGATCGGCAAAATTTAACACAACTATGTTTTCCCGTACGCTTATTACTCATACGTTCCATGTGTTGTCTTGTCGCTGTGAGGCAGTGTGAAAATAAAGAATATATATATAAACATCTTAACCTTTTTTTTGTAGGAAACTGCGAAGCGGAAAATCTCGTCAGATCTTCATCAATTTCTGCTTCTCGTTGTTCATGTTGTACATCGTGTTCGTTGCCGGCGTCGACAATGCTAAGGTGAGCGATGTTACATAACGCAGGAAACTTTTAAGTTTAATTAAAGGGGCGATAGATATGTGGAGCCACCAAGAGGTCAAAAGTGGCCAGGACCGGTCGGTAAAAGCACTTTCCATATCTTGAAAGGCATTGATTGTAATGTCTTTTGTGAATTGCATCTTGCTTTGAAATTATAACAGTTATATCTACATGTACTTCAATTTAAAGGGTTCCGGAGGTGGTTGTGTGTTTGTGGCTGCTTTACTCCACTACTTGACTCTGTCCACCATGATGTGGATGGCTGTTGAAGCCAGGAACATGTACGTCAGTACGGTGAAGGTGTTCCCAGAAGACACGCCTCGATACATGCTTAAGGCTTGCCTCATCGCTTGGGGTGAGTCCCTGTCTTAACTCAAACATTATTTTTAAATAGATACCAAGCAAAATCATTGTTATCTTCAGTTGAATCAAGATTGGAATCAAGTTGAATCAAGAATAAGATTTCAATCTCCTTTTTTAGGTTCTCCATTGATTGTGTTGATTATCACCTTGGCTGCAGCATCACATCATTATGCCAACGAGCATTAGTAAGTGAATGACCATGTTAGCTTTTAATCTGAGGGCGCTGTTTGGATTCCCCAATGACTGACACTCTCTCTCTACCTAATTATTATTCAAATAGAGTAGTTCTCGGAACGTCGGCTTTGTCCCAAGCGTCTGCTTACTTCACTGTATGCAGGGAATTTAAGAACCTTCTACAATCTAAACTACTCCAAATTTTATTCTCTTACGAATATGATTTTGTACTCCTCAAGCAGACCTTGGATCCATAATGAGCCGAATTATCCAGAGTCAGAGGTCTACAATCTCTTAACACAAGCCGAAACTGGAAACAAAGACAACGTTTCGAAAATGTCCAAAGACTTATACAGATGCGACTGTGATAAATATGCAGGTTATTAAGCACTGTATTAAAGCTGGTATTACCTACCTATATTAAAAAATGATGATCAATATTTCTTCTTTTGCAGCTGCTTCGTTGAGCCTGGTCTTGTGCTGTACCTCGGCCTCCTTGTTCCAATTGGTCTCATCCTCATCCACAACATCATCACCTTCATCTTAGTCATGCGCAGTCTCCTGAAGGTCAAGGAGGCATCTCGCTCCCAGCAGATCTCCAAACGCCTCCAGAATGCCGTGGGAATCTCCGCCCTCATGGGGTTGACCTGGTGTTTTGGGTTCCTGGCCATCAACGAGGCAGCCTTTGCCTTCCAGCTCATCTTCTGTCTGGCCAACTCCTTGCAGGTGGGTGTTTCATTCCTTGGCACCTCATTTCATCGCGGTACAGCCTCACTTAATTCCCACAATTTTACCAACTCTGTAGCTCACTCTCTTGAGACGTGACTCTGTCATGAGTTTAACTACCGGGACATGCAGGGTCTTGTCCTTCCCTTTAGCTCTGTTGCCCCAAAGAGCTTGTTTTACAGGTACATGTACAATCATTAGATGTGCTCAAGTAGACTCTTGTTCCTCCATGGCGTATCGTATATTCACCTGTTCTTATCAATTATCTGCCTCATTTTCCTAACACCACTTGTGAGCTGAGGGTTATGGCGAATGAGGTACAGTTTTAGCGGCCTCATGCACTGTGTAGTTCCTTACCAAGAACTTTATTTCCTATAGTAGCGTGAATTTATATTGGGTTCTTGTCCTCCAAGTTTCGCCAATTGCAGGCAAAAGGGGAACACAGACAGAATAACTCCAGAGAGACTCGAATTTAGTTCAGCAATTAAAACTCTGCGGTCAACTTGCCGCACCGCTGCCAGAACATGAACTGCTGATTCCCAGCATAGAATAACACAGGCAGACAGAACTTAGTACATTGTAACAACTTAGCCCGCCATGGAGTCTAGTTACTTGTAACAAAGGAACTAGGTCAGCGCAGTGTAAACAGCGCGTCGTCGGAGCCCTCCGTCGGCGGCTATAGTGAGCAAAAAAGAAAAAATACAAACTGTCCGTAACACTCCATTTCTCTCTTGTACTTACTTTTTTATTTTGTAGGTGTAGACCCTTGCTTTGTGGCTTGTTAAATAATTATGTAAAGTAGGGGCGGGAACTACGTACCAACATCAATTTTGTAAACGTACGGGGTCTGTTTGATAACCAAGTCGTAATTATTTGCTCCCATTGTAGGGCGTGGTTGTGTTCATCATGTTCTGCGCTCGACGTGAGGAGGTCCGCACAGCCCTGGCGCCTTACATGAAGCGCATCTGCTGCGGCCATGAGTGCCGCTTGCCCACACTGCATCCTGAAAAGTCCAACGAGTCAGAAATGGTGTCAGCGACGGCTCACACTCTACCGTCAGCCGGGCAGACTGCAGAAGTGGAGATCTCTGTGACAACACCGCAATAGGAAGACCACGTTGCAATTTCAAAGAAAGGCTCACTACAAGGTTGAGCCATTCTTGTGGCATACATTTGCTAAGTTCTGGGGTCGTTGAGGTACCATTATAACAGGTAACGTAAAGCAGATATTGACATCCTCCAAGCCCTAAAGCGTCATGTTCTATGTTTAATAATCAATACGTATGGTGTTTCATTTAATAAAATGTTTAGCATATTTCATAAACTGCTTAGCATGTTTTAAGCTGTGTTTAGATTATTATACTGCAAGGAATAAGGTAAATAGTAATGAAACACAGAGCTTTTTTATAATTACATTATTCTCAAATTTATATAACATTTCAACAATTTTACATTTCGACATGAAAGAGGTTGATTCGCGTGCATATTTCCTAACGCAAATGCATGTAATCGGAAACCGCTTCGTTATTTCACGATCAAGTGAAAGTATTTGATGGAGTATCGATTGAAAAATATCGAGTCTCGAATATTTAGCATAATTGATATTCATTTTACCACTGGATACACAACTTGAAAGCCATGAGGTATACCCACTGCAGACACGAATCCCTCAACCAATGAAGAAACTTAAATTTGTGACCTACTGAGGCAAAATGAGGAATGTCCCCAAAAATCTTGTTTTGAGTAATCGACGCCTGCAGTCGGATATATACTAGAAAAAATCATGTCAAAAATTAATCGATATTGATTGTTTTGTATTTTTGAGTAGCCAAGGTATCCAACATTCAAACTATGCATTTTTGTTGGGGAAAAATACCAACAAAAGTGAAAAAAATTGAAGAACGTTTTTCACTGCCTTTGGTGATGTAATCCGTGTCTTTTTTTAAAGCCGTTTTTTTTTCGAAACGAGGTTAGCGAAACTTGGCAGGACACTGTTGAAGTTCCTGCGTCATATCTTTGGAATAAATTAAGCTACAGGAATAAATTTGGTATCATTGGAAAGTCAATGATTTAACATGATACGTACATAACGTGACAAGTCAAAGGTGGGGGTTATTCCTCGTTATGCTATGGCAGGTCACATATGCGTAATTATATTAACTGAATTCGCTGCTTTGGCAGGTTGCATGTAGTTATTACTCATTGCAACAATGTAACGAATTGTAAGTATTACTCAGCATTAGAATACGGTTTAAATTGTTGTTCGTAAAGACAGGATAACATAGCCCACACTTTGTAGCTCTAGTCGGCCTACTGGTGCCCAGAAATTCGGCATTGTCGCAAAATGTCGCTGGTTGATGAATGTATGCACGCTTTATTCAGCGGTCGGGGGTGGAATCCGACCCTCGACTTTTTCCGCGATAGCCTTGAATTTTTTTTGTCCGCGACCTGAGCTGTGAGGACTTTTTAGCCTCGAGCCTTGCGCTTCTTTTGATACCAAAAACATAAAACTCGAGCAGCGGGTTGCTACGCGCCGTGAAAACCTAATTTCCCCATATACGTAGTGTACGCAGAACAGAATTACCATTCGTGCATATGAATAATTAATTAGCCATAATTTCAAATTTACCTATAGTCATGAAATTTCTTGGGTACGTTTATGATGAGTTGTTCTATGCATGTACCGAGTTTCATAAGGGAAGCCCCCTCCCCCCGAGATGGTGAAAATAACCCAGCTCTTTTAGGGTTAAGGTAACGACGTACAATTCCAAATTAAGCTTCGGCGTGAAGTTTTCATTTGCCCCCCCCCCACACATAAAAACCTAGACACGCTACTGATAGGGCCTTATTTGTAAATTTGTAAACCACCATAAGCACACCACAACACTTTTAAATACACAGTTTGCAATGTCGACAGTTTTAATAGGACAAAACTTTAAATGCTCAATGTTGGTTGAATGTACTATAAACGTGCCTAAATAAAGGCTGCTGAAAATTGTCTGATGATAATCCTGATTCAAGGTCATGCTTCGTAAATTAATTCGTGGGGAGTAGGTCCCCCGCTGTCACATTTTTTTTTATAATCTTTGTTTTGATGGGAGATGTTAATAAAAAAGACGGTTACAGCAAACACATATACTTAATTTTAAGCTCATTTTGTTGATTAATGCGTGAATGTCGCGTACCTTTTGATTAGCCAACAATTTAAAACATATGCGTGGTATCAGAACCAGGCAGGTTTTTTTCTGGGTTTCTTTTCCTTTAATAAGATTTCAACACCCAGGCTCACATCATCCAAAAGGATGATCTAACAAATTTTGGAGACAAAAAATGAAATACTTAACAAAATTTGTTCAACAATTTGTAAACTGTTGATGAAAATGTTGTAAATGGAGGCAAGATAATGTGTAGTAATATTAACGTCACGTGGCACATAGTGCTCTATTTTTATGGGAAACTTTAATAGGGTGCTTATTTTGGTCAATTTTTTTCGGTTTGCGGTAACATCATGTGGTAATAACTACTGCTCATATTATTTCGCTCACAGCGAACTGACACCCGAGCGAGCAGGGCATCTCACTACAAGTACAATGCCCAACAGACAACCAATCAGAATCTACCAACACAAGTTTCATTCGTACGCGTAAAATATTCGCCTTTTGCGGACGTTGAAGAAACCCCATTTTTTTTGGCATTGGTGATTGGTCACCGCTGTTTCCGAGACGCACAACGCGTATATTGTACATGATAAAGTGCCCTGTGATGGGTCTGTCTGATGCTTGCCAGGAAACAGTGAAGCCAGAGTCATGCACAAGTCTACTTTTCGTGAATTCAAAATGGCAGCCTCAAACAAGGCGTTTGTGACAAGGATGTTTCCCGAATTGAAGGTGGAATTTCTCTTTTCTTCCCAAAAGGTATGTAAACCTAACCACCACCATTTGTATTTTCACCTCCCATTGAAGCCTACAGGGGCACATAAGGCAGTTTGAAGACCATTTTGGGGGTCGTATTTTGATTGGGGGTACGAGTGAAAATGGTCAAAAAAAATTAATAGTAGCCGCAATGAGGGACATCGTTCTCGGACTCTACTATCGCCCGACCATGTCCAAATGTTAAAAAAAGCGATCTAGTTACTCGGACTAGTCGTGTCCGATGTGTAAACAACCGGTTTTTCTCGGGAACGGTGAGACATTAGGTTGGTTTCCTTTCAACCACATGTTTGAAATAGGATAAGTAAACAATCCAAAACATGAAATTTTCGGGGATTTCAGGACCTAGTGCCCCTTTAATTTCAAATTGTATACAATTCTACAACTGTGTGCAGTGTGGGGCCCAATTTCAAGGCGCTGCTAAGCACACAATTTTCTGCTAACAGAGCCTCCGTCTATTTTATGGAGACCTTAAGCATAAGCACAGCAAAAGGCACGCTTACTTCGGAGGAAAAATTTGCTTAACTTAGTGACGTAACAATAGAGATCTCCATGCACGCGCGAAATGGTGCTTAAGGTTAGCAAATTTTTCTGCTATGCTAAACACAACTTTTCTGTTAACTGTTAGGCAGCGCCGTGACATTCGGCCCGGGTCTCTCCGCAATCAAAATTGACCTATCACGGTAGAATCGCGTTAGAATCGCGTCAACGCAGCTTGTGAAATATTGTCCAATTACATGGCATAAAAATGGACGCGGAAACGCGCAATATCTGACACAAACAAAACTTTAATAGCGTACACAAATTCCATAGGGTTGTCTAAGGGGCGTGGCTTACTCGCCCCTATTTATAAATAGCGATAAAACGGTGTTCAGACAAGGGCGGATCCAGGGGGGGGGGGGCCAAAGGGGGCCATGCCCCCCCCCAAAAAAAAAAACTAAACCAATTGGGTTTTTTTATGTGACGTCGCAATAAAGGCAGGCAATGAGTACACCACCATCTTTTCCTCAGAAAACATTCGCTATAGTGGTCAGAAATTGCTTCAGATCGCACCACAGAGCATCGAGAATCCAAAAAAAAATTCGGGGCCCTTAAGCGGGCCCCGAACCCCATGCCGTAATTTTTGGACCCACTTTTTGGGAGACACAAATGTTTTTTTGGCCCCCCCCCCCAAAAAAAATTGTGTTCTGGATCCACCCTTGTGTTCAGATCGTTTCGTATACAAACCAAAATAGATTGATATCAGCAGAACTTGTTATTCCTCGCGCAGTCTTGCCAAATCTTCAGAGATGGTCTGCGTATGCTGTTAATCAGGAAATATATTTATTTCTGTTTCCTTCCTCAACCAGTCATAAAAAAAACATTACAATGCCAGCTGGACCAACAAAGAAACTGTGGGCATTAGGATATGCTTCATGTAATTTTTATTTATTTATTTGCAGTCTTATTTAAACAGGGTGGCCTCCTTAGTTAAAAAACTGCTTTCCTTGAGGGCCCTGTACAAAAAAAAAATTAAAACTATAAACCAAAACCAATTAACTAAGTAACATTTCAATAAAAAAAAAAAATACAGTTATTCAAATATAAACATAAATTAATGTTACTTGTTTAAGCAAATATATAAAGTACTAAAAAGCAATACAAAAGATAACAGCATGTTAAATTAATAACTCATATGAAGTAAAAAAACAAACAAACAAACTCCTACAAAATATTACGACAACATGATCATAAGTTACATGTACAATTATATCAGAATAAAATGATTAAACACATCCACTGGAAAACCAAAAAAAAAGTTAGTTCAGCCTACTTTCACTCTCAGACAGATAAATAACATTGTAAAGTCAACTTTGACGATTTCCTTTATTATAAACCAAACGAAGCGTGCAAGGGCCTGCGACATGTATATAAAAGCCGTACTTAAAATTGCTTCCTCATTTACCATCTTGCAAAGAGCAAAGTTGGTACATGTTTTCAGTGAAAAAGACACAAGGAAAATGAGTCGTGATAGATTGGTGAATAAATAAGTACATCAGCAACTTGTCATGGACGCCATGTTCAACATGAGGTCAGGAAGTTCTTTCTCTGTGGCGTTTGCCATCCTCGCTTTCTTTGCCTTCGGATGCAACTTCCAAGTGGCTGCTTTAGGTAAGCGATATTATAATCAACTGAACTGTTAAAGGCTGGTTAACTTTAGGTAAAATGTGAGGCGTTCAGGCAAATTGAGACAGAGCTGGGCAGAGGTCGGAGTGAACGTTTGCGGGTATAAGGAAGGAGAAATAATATTTTCCTTGCGATACTGTTTGTTGCACTTAATTGGACATTCCGCTTGCAAGTTTAATGACTGTTTAAATTCGCATTTATCGACATGTCAAAAAAGTAAACTTTTTAGAAAAGGACCTTTAAAGTTCTAGTTGTGTAGTCGTGGAAATGCATTTACACATTTATTCCAAGTTGTTCAAGTGTAGTACACAATCATATCGAAGAAAAAAAATCACCCCATTCGGTGTTCCCCCCCCCCCCATTTTGTCTCCACTATGGCTTGTGCCCATTTTTGTCTCATTTGGGCTTAATGTCTCACAAATAACAATTGGGGAAAATATTAACCGTTGATGAAGCTACCGTATTTATATTCCATTTTACTTTTATTTGTTGATGTTTTGTGTCGATTTGAGAGTGAATGAAAATTATATTTTTTACAGTACTGATAGAACTCTTTAGCTCATCATGATCAAATATTTGAGCTGAGACAATATCTGAGATGCTTCAAAATGATTTTAAATAACAGTATATTCGGTATAAACAGTGTAACTGACACGCGCACGTGGGTGTCAGTTCGTGAAAACCACGTAAAATCAATGGACCGATCCAGTAAGCTCCGCCCAGTGCGCACGTTGGCAAATTTACTCAGATTATATAACCGACATACAGATCCTTGTCATTTGATTGGTGAAACTCACATCACGTGGCATTCGTTATTGCTCCCATTCATGCCGCGGCTCAAAAAGTACTATCCGCCCATGGGGAATGGGAAATACTATTCAACAGTTAGAATCATGACGCGGTATTTGTGTGCAAATCATAGAGCTGTATGCATGCTGGTGTGCGCGTTCAGCGTTGCGCGTAGCGCGTATTGTTCCAAAGAGCCAGCGCTACAGCGTTGGGTTCAAACATTTTCGTGAAGGGGTGGTTTGGAAGAGACAAATACATTTTCCTCCAGTTTTGTGTTGAAAAAAAGTTCAAATATATCAAATGACAAGGATCTATATGTCAGTTATATAAAACAAATATTGACTGGCTTTAAATTGTGGAATAGGAGGAATATTATCGCTCGGTAAAATCTGGACTTTTCCAGTTCACTCGGCTTCGCCTCGTGAAATGGAAAAGTCCAGATTTTACCTTGCGATAATATTCCTCCCATTCCACGCTGAGCCACTCAATATTTGTATACTAGTAAAGTGCCGCGCTGCCAAAAATATCCCGGTTCTGTAAATACGCGCGCGTGCAGCGCACTCATGCGCAACATACAGAGTATACAAATATTGAGTGGCTCAGCGTGGAATGGGAGGAATATTATTGCAAGGTAAAATCTGGACTTGTCCATTTCACGAGGCGAAGCTGAGTGAACTGGAAAAGTCCAGATTTTAACGAGTTTTATATAACTGACATATAGATCCTGGTCATTTGATATATTTGAACCTACAACTGTGTGCAGTGCGGGTCTCTCAATCAAAATTGACCTATCACGGTAGAATCGCGTTAGAATCGCGTCAACGCAGCTTGTGAAATATTGTCCAATTACATGACACAAAAATGGACGCGGAACGCGCAACATCGGAGACAAACAAAACTTTAATAGCGTACACAAATTCCATAGGGTTGTCTAAGGGGCGTGGCTTACTCGCCCCTATTTATAAATAGCGATAAAACGGTGTTCAGTTCTTTTCGTATACAAACCAAAAAAGATTGAAATCAGCAGAACTTGTTATTCCTCGCGCAGTCTTGCCAAATCTTCAGAGATGGTCTGCGTATCCTGTTAATCAGAAAATATATATATTTCTATTTCCTTCCTCAAACAGTCATAAAAAAAACATTACAATGCCAGCTGGACCAACATGTCTAGACATATCAGACGTTATACAGGGGGCTTGCTCCGTGGATAACGGGTGATACTCAGACTAGTAAAGTGCCGCACTGTGGAGGATGTCAGTTAGTTAGTATGGTTCCCAGACCAAAAGATTCTGACTATTCCTGATGAATCTTAGCTCAGGCCAACCTCGTCCCCAGGGTGTCGAGCAGTACGCGCCCACCACTACCTGCTCTCTCACCCTGGTATTGGATCATTTGCATGTGCAAGATTTTTGAACACGTATGCAAATGAGGAATAGTCTGGTGCCTGCCTGTGCGTTACATTTGCGTTTGTTTTTGTATGCGGTGTCTGGAGTAAAAGCAGAATCAATTCGTCGCAGCGCGAGCCTGGCGTAAGTTACAAAAACAATTTTATTTTAATTAAACTGTTACGATCTTATCGAGACAACATGCAGTATCACATTGCATATTAATATGAACAAATTGGAAAGAAAATGAATATTTTGGAGAAGGCATTGACGAATGATCGCGAAAACACGTAATGCACGTTGTTAATAACAACACCAAGTACACGATATAAATCCATTACTAGCCAATTGCGGTATCGAATCAGGATACAGGAAGAAAGTTTCCTATCCAGGGCTTACTATTGGAAACTATGTTGGAAATAAAGTAAGCACTGGGGACGAGGTTAAGGTCAGGACGCCTCCGTGGCTAAAAATAAACATGACGACATTGATGGCCCTTTTTCAAAGCTTGGCTTCGTTTCCGATTTCGCATTATCACTTTTAGCTTTTAATGTTCTGATCAAATTTTGTAAATAAATCACTTGCTTCGTATTATCATACATTTATGATAATACAGTTTGTTGTTTCTGTAAGATAACATTGACTAAATGTTGATCTGGAATCTTCAAATTTAGGCACCCAAATAGCACTGTAAGCAGACGGAGCCGAATGAAGACCGAGTTTTGGAAAATCTCAGTAACGGTCGTCAAATTCAAAATTGTACATGACGCAGCAAAAAGTTCGCCCATACGATCCGAGTATATTTGATGCACAAAATCGTCGTTGAATTTCAAGTTTTCTAAATGAAAGCAATTAATATTAATTATCTACTCATTTGAAAAAAAAAATAATAAGCAATAAGCGGTTAATTAAACCTATATTATACTTGGAAATACTCGGGCACTATCCGATTGTCGACGAAAGGAATTCAGCAAACTTCGGAAATTTTCGAAAAAAGAGGAATTCCTCCCGTTTTAGTCACGTGACGTAAATTGTAATACAATGTATTACCGGAGGCTACCGGACCTAAGATTCATCAGGAATAGTCAGAATCTTTTGGTCTGGGAACCAGACTATTAGTTAGTGAAACCAAAATATCCCAGTTCTGTAAATACGCGCGCGTGCAGCGCACTCACGCGCAACATACAGAGTGTCAGTTCGTGGTGCCGATGCCGATGATGTTCGTCTAAAAAGTTAAGACGAGAGTGCACGTTGCAGGCTTTGGCCCACGGCCTCATGCGTTATAGCAGCACAAAACTTGCCTTTGAAGTTGATGCAGTTGCCTTGATGGTTCTTTTTTGCGTTGTTTTAAGAACTTACAATGTTGAATTTCATTATTGTCAATGATTTGACTTTTAAACCTTTGTTAATCTTGAACCAAGCTGAAACAAAGTAGCGGATATGATACAATTTTGTGAGTTTTTTTTGTTCTTAAAGTTTCATCCTCCAATCGAATGACAAAGATGTACTTGTATGTTATATATGTTTTGCATTCGTACAATGGTGAGAATATTTTCACTCGTTGAAAGATGGAAAAATCCACATTCAATCTTTCAACTCATGAAAATATTCTCACCATGCATTGCACTCATAAACATTCATTATTTGTATACTAATATCCATTATGCTTCTGTGATGTTATTTCTCAATCCACCAAGTTTTAGTTTCGGTCGTTTTGTTCCATGTTTAAAAGGGTGGAATTCAACAATTTGCAAATACAGCCAAATGCACGAAATCATACCTTCAAAAGACTCTTAATGTAGAAACAAATTCAGAGTGTTGCTGGGGCATCGTTATTCTTGTAAACTCTTTTTGAAACAAAATATACTCCAGCCTTCTCTTCAGCCTTCTCTTCCCCCCCCCCCCCCCCCCCCCCCCCCCCCCACCCAACCAAAATTTGATTATGCATCCGCCTTTGCATTGTGCGTACATTGATTAGACTTTCGGTTTGACGGATGCGTTGCCGATTATTACAAATGTGCAATCCAATTCGCAGAAAATCGATTTGTTATTGTGACACGGGCTGAATTGTACATTCTTTTTCATTTGTCATAATTTATATCGCAAAGTCTGCATTCATTATAAATAAAGCATACAGCCGATACAAATCATGATACAGCTTTGACTGATTCATTGATTATTCACTGTATTGTAGGCCCAATTGATCATTAATGCGTTTGTTCTTATGTACACAAAAGCCTATTTGAAATAGGCAAATGAAATGTTGAAAAGATATAAATCTTACCAAAATAAAATCAGTTAAAATAATCTTGTAGGTATATTATTGGGACGGTAAAGGGAAACATCAGTGTCATGTTACATGGGATACAGGTGCTTTTTTGTTGTTTCTTTGTCTTAATTGCATTTTAATGTCTTTCTGTATTTGTTAAAGTTCTGTCTCATTTTATTAGTTCGATTGCTTGGTTATATGATGCGATTGTGGCAATTGCTGAGCACAAAAAAAGAACGATTGTCTTCATCTTAGGTTTTTATATAGGATTTATTACAATAGTTGGTATGTTTTGAAAGACTACACCACTTGGTTTAGCTCAATCATCATGAATATTCAAAATTCAATCATTCAATCAAACATTCCTCATATGTTCTTGACCTGGCATACGTTTAATGCAGGAAATCGGCTGCACATTTAGCGAAATAGTTTGATGATAAATTAAAAGGAATACAGGATTGCGGATGTGCCTTCGATTTCGCGCTAAAATGAAATGTCAATGTACCAAATTCAGTGCACATTCGGGAAATCGTACGCTGATTTTTTACGACTGAATGCACCTTCATGGAAATAGAATTATCATTTGTTAAATACAAACAGCGATTTGGGACGTTCATTCTATTTCGCACGAAAACGAATGCTTCTTTTACAGACTCTTGTACACATTTTCCGAAATTGTTCGGGAAACCTATATTATACCCCCATGTATAAGCCTATGTAATAAAAGATCAATTTGAATGCAGTCTTTTAAAGCTTTCCGGGATCGATCTGAAGCGCCAGCGTTCTGTCCTGTGACTTTAATTCACTACAAATAATGCCCCAAAACTGGCACTTTTGGGTCCAGCTCGGCTATAGGCCTATCATGGATTTTTTTTATCAATTTATTTTTGAATTTAAAATGTTTTAATTTTGTTCTTTAAAATTGTTCGTTCTCATTTACAGTTTGATATACCGGTATATTTTAAGGTTTTATGACTATTATTAATATCTGGGAAGTGGTTTAAGATGGACTGTACAGTCTTTTCCACAACCCCTGACATCTCGAAGGTGTTGGATGATGCAAGAGGGGTTGAGGGCCAGACGCTCACTCATTTAAGCCGGGCGTATACGTAGTCAACATTCTCAATGGCCATGCAAAATAATTGGCCTGGAATAATGATTATTGACTTTGGTTATACTGTCTCATCTAACTAAATTAATTTGTCAAGTCTGATTTCTGGATCTGGCCCTTACAGGGATAGGTGTTCGTTTGGTAGGCGGTTCAGACTCCATGGAAGGTCGAGTGGAGGTGTTCTGGAACGGTGCTTGGGGGACGGTCTGTGATGACCTATGGGACCTACGAGACGCAACAGTTATCTGCCGGGAACTGGGTTTTCGAGAAGCTTATGCGGCTCCCATTGGAGCTGCATTTGGTGAGGGAACCGTGGACATAGTGTTGGATGATGTTCGTTGCACGGGTAACGAAGAGACGGTGTTTGATTGCCCGGCACGAAGTCTGGGAGTACACGACTGCGTGCATAGCGAGGATGCCGGGGTTCGATGTAGTAAGTTGTTGACAGCAGACGTAGTTATGCACGATATTATAACTTCAATTCGGGTTTTGTAATAACACACACTGACTGAATTTGGTAAGGGAACCGGGGACATATTGTTGGATGATGTTGGTTGCACGTGTAACGAGGAGACGGTGAAAAAAAGACCAGGATACCACGACTGCATTCATTACGAGGATGCCGGGGTTCGATGTAGTTAGTTGCAATGCTGACATCAGAAATCCAGACTGGTTTTTATAAGATTGTAAAAAAAAATAGTCATGGAAAAGAAGGTTATGTACACTATCTCAAAGTAATAACACACAATCACTGCCTTTTGCGCTTTTAGTATGCATGGTTTTCCCCCACATTTCCCTAAAAGGCATATTGCACTGCCATAATTTCTCCCGGTATATGACAAGTGACATTTTTTTGGTATTTTAATTATGCTTAGCTGGAGATCGACCCGTCATTATAATCTGCCCATCTAATCAGACGATCGATTCAGATTCAAACCAGAACTTCGCTACGGTCAACCTACCTGGTCCTGCCGCTTCGTACCACAGCAGCCTTGGACGGCTCGAAATCACTATTGACGTGGATGGTTCTACGCGTCGCGTTAATGACGAAGTCAGATTGAGTATTGCAAACTCTCCACACGTCTTGCAATTCAATGCAAGTGATGCAAACAACACTGCGACGTGCAGCATGCAAATCTCTGTTCTTGGTAGGCAATTATTATTATACCCCCGATGTATATGTAATATGAAAACAATTTGAATGTAGTCTTTTAAAGTTTTGCTGGATCGATCCGAAGTGTCAGCATTCTGTCTTGTGACTTTAATTCACTGACTCATCGAGTACAGGCCTACAAAAAAATGCCCTAAACTGACCCTTTTTGGTCCAGCTCTGCTAAAGGCCTATTTTTTATTAATTTTTTTTACAATTTTTTATTGAATTTAAAATGTTAAGATATTTGTTTAAATTGTTCGTTCTTTTTTACAGTTTGATAAACCTGTAGCTGTTTTAAGCTGTTAATATTATTTTTAATCTGGGAAGCGGTTTAAATATGGACTTTACAGTCTTTTCCACAACCCCTGACATCTCGAAGGTGTTGGATGATGCAAGAGGGGTTGAGGGGCAGACGCACATTCATTTAAGCCGGGCGTGTATACGTAGTCAACATTCTCAATGGCCATGCAAAATAATTGGCCCGGAATAATGATTATTGACTATGGTTATACTGTTTCATCTAACTAAATTAATTTGTCAAGTCTGATTTCTGGATCCGGCCCTGACAGGGATAGGTGTTCGTTTGGTAGGCGGTTCAGATTCCATGGAAGGTCGAGTGGAGGTGTTCTGGAACAGTGCTTGGGGGACGGTCTGTGATGACGACTGGGACCTACAAGACGCAACCGTTATCTGCCGGGAACTGGGTTACGGAGAAGCTTATGCAGCTCCCCATGAAGCTGCATTTGGTCGAGGAGCCGGAGACATACTGTTGGATGAAGTTCGTTGCACGGGTAACGAGGAGACGGTGTTTGATTGCACGGCAATAAGGGGATCGGGACACGACTGCAGTCATTACGAGGATGCCGGGGTTCGATGTAGTAAGTTGTTAATGTTGACAACAGACTGATTTTTTTTACGAGATCGAAAATACATTTAACATGTTTTGTAATAACACACATTGACTGAATCAAGGGCGGGTCCAGAACACAATTTTTGGGGGGCGGCCAAAAAAATAATTTGGTCCCGCAAAAAGGGGTCCAAAACTTTACGGCAAGGGGCTCAGGGCCCGCTTAAGGGTCCCGAAAGTGTTTTTGATTCTAGATGCTCTGTGGTGCGTTCTGAGACAATTTCTGACCACTTTACCCAAATTTTGTGAGGAAAAGATGGTGGTGTACGCAGTTTTTTTCATTTTTTGCAACGTCACTAAAACAAAATTGGGTTCTTTTTTGGGGAGGGGGCATGGCCCCCGTTGCCCCCCCCCCCCGGCCGCCCTTGGACTGAATTTGGTGAGGGAACCGTGGACAAAGTGTTGGATGATGTTCGTTGCACGGGTAACGAACAGACGGTGTTTGAATACCCGGCACGAAGTCTGGGAGACCACAACTGCGTGCATTACGAGGATGCCGGGGTTCGATGTAGTAAGTTGTTGACAACAGACTGAGTTTTTTTACTAGATCGAAAATACATTGTACATGAACGCTATTAATAATTCGGGTTTTGTAATAACACAAACTGACTGAATTTGGTGAGGGAACCGTGGACATGGTGTTGGATGATGTTGGTTGCACGGGTAACGAGCAGACGGTGAAATTGCACGGCAAGAAGACCGGGAGAACACGACTGCATTCATTACGAGGATGCCGGGGTTCGGTGTAGTTAGTTGCAATGCTGACATCAAAATCCAGACTGTTTTTTTATAAGATAGTAAAAAAAATACAGTTTATGAAAGTTTTCGAGTTTGAAAGTGTAAAATAGTATTTATTCACAGTAACATAACTCGTCATGATCGAACATTTGATCTGAGACAATTTGTAATATCTGAGATGATTCAAAATGATACAGTATGTAGTTGAAGAAGATTATAGTATAAGAAGTTAATATGTACACTATCTCAAAGTAATAACACACAATCACTGCCTTTTGCGCTTTCAGTATGCATGGTCTACCCCCACATGTCCATAAATGCATATTGCACTGCCAGAATTTCTCCCGGTATATGACAACTGACATATTTTTGGTGTTTTAATTATGCTTAGCTGGAGATCGACCCGTCATTATAATCTGCCCATCTAATCAGACGATCGAGTCAGATCCAAACCAGAACTTCGTTACGGTCAACCTACCTGGTCCTGCCGCTTCATACCACAGCAGCCTTGGATGGTTCGAAATCACTATTGACGTGGATGGTTCTACGCGTCGTGTTAATGACGAAGTCAGATTGAGTATTGCAAACTCTCTACACGTCTTGCAGTTCAATGCAAGTGATGCAAACAACACTGCGACGTGCAGCTCGCAAATCTCCGTTCTTGGTAGGCAATTATTATTATACCCCAATGTATATGTAATATAAGATCAATTTGAAATGCAGTCTAAAGTTTTGCTCGATCGATCCGAAGTGCCAGCGTTGTGTCCTATGACTTTAATTCACTGACTCTCATTAAGTATAGGCCTACCAATAATGCTCTAAACTCAGTCTGGCACTTTTGGATCCAGCTCGGCTGTGGGCCTATCATGGGTTTTTTTTTATCAGTACATTTTTGAATTTAAAATGATTTTCTTTTAATTAATCATTTTTTTTTAAATATCGTTCGTTCTCATTTCAGTTTGATATAGCTATTTTAAGCTTTTAATATAATTGTTTATATAAATGTTTCCTCAGTTAATCAGCCGCCAGTGATCACCTGCCCACCCAATCAGACGATTCAGACATATCCAAATCAAAACTTCGCAACAGTAACCTTACCCGAACCAGCCTCTGCATCCGACAACAGCGGATGGTTCGAAATCACCATTGACGCGGATGGTTCTACGCATCGTGTAAATGGCAGAATCAGTTTGAGTCTTTCGCAGTCTAGACACACATTGCAGTACACTGCAAGAGATGCCAGCAACAACTTTGCCACATGCACCATGCAAATCACTGTTATAGGTAAGCAGTCATTTCCTGTGTTTACACCCGAACCTACTTTGACATGGAAAACTTGTTTTGATTTTTCCCTTTTGCTGCGAAATAGATATTTTGCAAAATCAAAACAACAAAACTTGAGTATACGTAGTAGTTCCTTACAAGTGATGTTTCAAAACCAATTATTTTATGACATCGACTAATCCAGCGTGTTTTTTCCCCCGGCAATCGCAAGTAGATTTTGGTAAATGCTTAAGGTGTGTACGCCTATACACTCTTCTTCGTATCCATCTGTATGTGATGCGTACGTGCAGGTTTACCAAACTTATTCGTGCTTGATACATCTTGCTAGAATACAATTTTTGTCTACTTTCTCAGTTGTGAAACTCGTCTGCCCAGCCAATTTCTCGGCATTAGCAAGTCCTGGCTCAACCAGCATATGAGCATTTGAAGACTTGGCAAAGATAGTTCAAAGAGTTCAAAGAGAAGAAACATTTTGCCGTGCTTTTACAACAGGTCAGTGCCCAACCAACACAACCACTGACGGTCTGAGATGGCCTGTAGCAGTAGCTGGATCCACTGCCAAGTCTGTCCAACGATGTCCACTGACAACTGCAAATGGTTTGACTTCATCTCTCACAGTCATTGAAACTTTCTCCCTGGTCTTCCCAGTTGTTCCTTGTTCTGCCTGATGATGTATCCAATCTTTCTTGTAATCTTCACGATCGTCTCTCCACCTCAATTTTTCCTTTTTTTCGTTCGTTGTCCCTTGGGCGCAAGTCTCACTTATATCGCATTTATTCGCACAGTTCAGTTTGTTCTGATAGAATGGTTTTGCCCATCTGAATTATTGCTTTTTGATCACTCAAAATGAAGCTGGTGAACCCGAAGCCGTCCGGAACTGTTCGAAGTTGGAGGCGCCTCTCTACTTCCGATGGGAGGAGCAAGAGATTCGTGGCTGCGGGGACAAGAAGGAAGTGTCTCTCGAAAACGTCGTCAAGGTAATTTGTTTTATCTCAGGACGTTAGTTGATCCAAATTAGATGATGGCTCAATTTTCAGAAAGGCATTTTAATAGTGGGGCTCTTGCAGAGAGGTCCTAGTTTATGAATCACACTGAATGTGTTTACTTGAGCAAATTGTGAAAAATTGCAGGCAGATGCGGTGTTTTAAGAAGCTTAGATATGAAGATGCGACCATGAACCATATTCGTTGACAGGTTGAGGTTAGCAAAGGCAATGCAGTCGAAGTGGCCGAGTTTCTTGCCAATCAGACGTCAGATTCATCTAAGGAGGCAGAAGATGTTAAGGTGGTTGCCAGCATTTTGGAGAACATCGCAAAAGCAGGATCGGGGGACAAAGAGGTATGTTGATAACCATTCCGGAGAGGGGACTTAGCACATTGTTCCAAGATAAAAAAAAAGAAGAGTGGGGTGGAACAGCGATATAGTAGAAATAAATGTAGTTAATTATAATCATGATTTCTTGAAGGTGACAGAACTAGTGCTGGAGACTGTCAGCAATGTCATCATGAGTGTTGGGCCTGAAACTCCTGACTCTGAGCCCACTCAGATCGAGGCTGGTACCTCCTCAGCCATCATTCAGTCCGTAGAGACTCAAATCTCCCTGACACTTCAGCAAGAGGGTAAAGTCAGTATACGTCAGGACTCCATCCACGTGGAGGCGGTCAGTCTTGAGCCAAACCAGACCAGGAACGGACTCAGCTTCGTGTCCGTGAAACAGTCCAATGTGACGTCTCCTGGACAAGGGTCACCGCAAGAGGGCACCCTTGCCGGTACCGAGGTCGAGACTTTGTACTCTAGTATGATACCGAAGGATCTCGATGTCTTGGCATCGGCTCGGTTGCCTGGCAACATCACTAATTTGTTACCGTCCCCTGATGGTAAGTTCATCATTCATGTGTGATCAAAGATTATGTCAATAATCGATATTTGATAACTTAAAGATAAAAAAAGAGGGTGGGGCTATGCGGTGGTTGCTGAGGTCTACTATGCAAGCAATGGTTCAAATTGTGCGTACATTTGTTCTCAATCAAGAGACGCACTGCTGTTCCTTGTTGGAAGTGGAGTTATGATGGAAATGTTGGGATAACCTTAAACATCTTTCAAGGGATGACACTATATGAACGTTGTTTGTTGATAACATTTTCGGGGGAAAGTGCAAACCAAATATGAGAAACGTACCTCTTAAAACTATTTCTTTACAATGTAGCTCAGCTGCAAGCCAGTTTCCTGATTTACGCTGATGACACGTTGTTCCAGTCTGCTTCGATCAGAGAGCATCGAGGGGAGGATAACTCGACTCGTAAGGTCGCTGGATCTGTCGTCTCACTGACTGTGGAGAATGTTGAACTTGTCAACCTCACAGAACCAGTCGTGATTGAATTCAAGGTGATCATGAGATAATTAATATTCCATTTCATCCAGAGTAGAATACTTCACTGTTGCACGAGGGCCGATTCCTGCCAACTTAACATCAATGTCCAAGTTAATCAATTCAGATTGTACCCTCAATTTTGTGTAACCTTTTATCAATCTTCCGATTTCGATACTTAGGAGGAATCAAGCGAAGTCCACTGCGTGTCCTGGGACTTTGAGCTGGAAGATGGAGTCGGCGATTGGACGACAGATGGATGCGCGCTTGCTGAAGTGACCAATAAGACAGTCGTGTGTAATTGCTCTCATGCCACCAACTTCGCAATCCTAGTGGTATGTATAGTTCAATCTTGTGATTCCAAACTACTACATACAGCTATTTCCCATTTAAGAATGTGACAATTGCAGGCTCAAGGTGACTAGACTCCCGCAGGTAGTACCAAGCTAAGACATTGGAGCACACCACAAAGCAAAAGAGTACCTCTTTCAGTTCAAAGAAAGAGTGACACTACTTTAAGCCGAAAAGGGAAGGTCTGTTAAGTCAGGAAAAAGAGAACATTTATCAGGAAAAAATACATTGGTATAAGGAATCTACACGATTTCCCTGT